CCACAGAACCCTGGCAGAGAGAAGCAGCCACAGAAATGCGATGCTGGGCAGGGTGCTATCCATGGTGCTGTTCGTGGTGCTGTCCATGGTACTGAGCATCCTTTTGCAGGTGCCAGCCACCTGCTGCCTTATTTTAGCAGGTCTAACAGCAAAGTGGAACCCAAATCCAATTACCCCATGCTGGGGGTTCAGGGGTGACTGAGGGGCTTCTGGAGGAAGGTTGACCTCAGTCCTAGGACAAGGATAGCAAAGGCAATAGCCAACATTTGTGGAACTCATAGTTTACAAAATGTCTTCATGTACCAGCTCCTTTACTCTCATAACCACCCTGGTGTAGGCAGGACAGACACAATCATATCTATTTTCTAGACGACAAAGCTGAGAAGAATGACGTTAAGTCATAGTTAATAAATAACACAGCCAGATTCATACTCCGTCTCCTGACCCAAAATCATATTCTGCCTTTGCTCCGTGCTGTGACCTGGGGAGCAGGCATGTAACCAGCGACATGCCATGGGGAGGTAAAAATGAGTGTGCTTTCTAGCTTCTTACACAAATCATCCCAAATTTATTATTTCCTTTACCTGGGTGTGGCCCTGGGTAAGGGATCGTCCATCTTTCACTGAGGTTTATTCTATAGTGATCATTATGGAAGAACCACAGTAACATGGGACCTGCCATCCATGAGCCCATGGATTTGTTGGATAAGTGGATGATCACGTGCATGGAAAATGAGAGACTAGTGCCAGGAAGTGGTAGCAGAGGCCAACTGTGTAAAGAGGGTGGGGACGAGGTGCAGACTGAGTTACTCATTGGAGGAAAGCTTTGGGGAATAGGATTTGAGCTGGACTCGGGGGCTATAAATGCTGATGAGACCAAGGGCCCCAGCTGAGCCCAGAAGAAGGTGTTTGAGCTCAGTCAGGGTGGGGTGAGCAATTCTGAGAGACATGGGGACAGGAAAGAGGGCAGGCATGATGCCCCACAAAGAAGTGGCCAGGCCAGTAACCTCTGGCATAAGCAGAAATGCAAGTGTTTATAGATTCAAGGGGGTGTTGTTGGCCTCTGTGGATCTGCAGCCAACTTTCCACAGACTCAAAACTGGCTGAAAGGGGTGCAGGAATTCTCCTGTGAGAATAAAAAGACCAGCCTCATGAGCTTCCCATTGCATCATATCAGAGGTACTGAGCCACCCACCATCCTTCATCCCCAAACCACTTCATCCTCCTTCCTTATTTAGGTGGAGTCAGAAAATCTTTTTTGTCTTCAAGAACTCCTGATCTAGATGCAAATAACCCTGGAAATCTTAAGCTGTTGTTTCTCTATCTTGGCTGCACATAAGAATAGACTGGAGATGCTCATTCTTAAAGTCTGGAGTCAGGCATGAGTATCTGGATCTACTAAACACCTTCCAGGTGACTGCACTGACTCCCATCCCCAACCCTAGGCTGAGGAGTCACTGATCCAAGCCCAAGAGCACTGAATGGGAGCCCAAAAACCTAAATTGTAATCCCAAATCCACCACTTTCCCAAGCCTCAGGCAGTTCTCTCAGACTGCTGGCAACCCAGTTTCTTCATATATAAGGTTGGGCAAACTATCCTTTGCTGTGAAGATGTGAGTAGATTGAGACTCAGGGCACTTCAGAGCAAGGAAGGGCTTATTGCCACTTAGGGGAATATTCCTGGCCAGCTAACATTATGGGTGGAGAAGGACATCAGCCAGAACGCTCACTGCAGTAACACTCCCTTCCTCTCCTGCCTCTCCTCCAGAGTACCCAGCCCACTAGCAATGACAGTGAACCCAAGCCACTGAGATGACATCCTGGAAAGGTGGGGAAGGAGAAGATTTGAGAGCAGAAGGCATGGAATGGGAGAGAGATCCAGAGAAGAAGGGGAAGTGGGAGGGGTGCCCATGGTCAGGAACTCATTTATTTAAGGTTCAGGACCATGGGAAATATTCTTTCTTGTTTTTAACAAAAGGAGATGAATTATTGAAAAGCAGAAGTCCAGGTGGGAGTAAGGGTTGGGGGACAGATGCTGTGGCTTTGTGCACTTGGTGAGGGACAGGGTTGGGAGAGGATGTGGGGATAGCTCCCTACCCACAGCTTATTCTCCTAGGATGTGGCTTATGGCTACAGTGATATGCTCCTCCAAAACAAATTTCAGGCCCTGTAGACCAGCTGCTAGGAACTCCTGGGGTTGCTGGAGCAGAGTGGGCTCTGGCAATGTCGGGAAATTCAGGCTGTAGGCTGTCTCTGAGACATCTGGAGTCCCAGGTCCAGCCTGGCCCTCAGACACCTCCCATTGAAACGCCTCATCTTACAGACAGGAGACCCAGAGAAGGGAAGGTACTTACCCAAAACCAAACAGGTGGCCCAGAGATTAGCTCTCCTGGAATCCCTCAGTCTACAGTACTTTCCACAGCATCACCCTGAAAGGCTGGTAAGACTTCTAACCCTGGACCAGGGCTTGAGTGGGGTCATCCCCCTCCTCTGGTCCCCTGCCCAGCACTGCCAGCCCAGCAGAGGCCCAGAGGGTCCAGAAGGTAGCAGAGCAGAGAGTTACAAACTGCCTGGGTTTGAGGGCCAGCTCTGCCACTCACGGCAGCTTTTGCCACTAGAGACCAGGAAGGGGAGGAAATTGGAAGGGAGAGAAGCTGCACACTCCCTGATCAGATAAGATGTGCAGCTGAGGAGGGAACCTGAGAGTCCTGACTCACCAGCCAGCATTAAACCACCTCTCATTGCCCCCACTTTGGCCCCAAAAGCAAGGCTGACATTTGCTTTTCTACACAGGAAGAACAGAGGCAACGGCCACCTATAGGCTGCAGTTTGCAGGGTACTGGACAGTCTTTCCCATACCCTGCAGTGTTCCTCTTGCCTATACTAGAACAGAGCAGGTGGAAGGAGACTAGGAAAGGTCCAGTCTGGGTCCCTCATCACCACCTCACAAATAAGCTGTTGACAACGATGACAGTACCGGCCAATACTGAGCACATACATTTCTCAAGCACTATGTGAATGGCTTTATGTGAATTACCATATTTCATGCTCACAGTAACCCAGCAAGGCAGCACTCCTGTTATCCTCACTTTCTAGAGAAGGAAACTGAGGTTCAGAGAGGTGAAGTCACTGTCCACAGTCATACAACAAGGGCAGATCTTGGATTTAAGCTTAAACACTCTGTCTTCAGAAAGCCCACTTACCCCCACTGCCCGAGACGGCCTCTCTGTGCTCTGCTGTGAATTTGTGCCCACAGATAGGAGTTCCCTGATACCCTTGTACCAGGCAGATTGGTGCCCCTGCTCTGTGTTCCTCCAGCATCCTTGGATTTCAAGTTGCATTCTTTCTAGTGCTGATGCTGTGGTCTCCAGTAAGCTTTCTGCCCCTCTAATTCACACCCAAGGGCTATCTCTGCCTCCAGAAAAAAAGGTCTGGGCATGGTTTAGGGGTGAAGACAAAAGGGGGGCATTGCTCTCAGTTTCCACAATCTCTGTTGCCAAGGAAGCTGAGGAGGGTGGTGAGGTAGGGGTGAGGCTCTCCTCTCTCTCTTCTTCCTCGCTGCCTCTTTGGGGTGGGCAGCCAGATGAACTGCAAGCTTGCACTAGACCCAACCCTGCTAGATGGCTTTCACCCTGCTCCAAGCTTAGAGGCTGGGACTTTGTAGTTAGAGTCCTCCCAGGCAGAATGGTGGCCTGGCCGAGCAATCCTCTCCCCAAATCCTGAAGCCTATGAACTGCCTGAAGAGAACCTCATGTTTATACTTTCAGAGTCTGCACAGGGCCTGGGAGGAGCAGATATGCAGCAAATTCTTATTGAATGAATAGATGAACAACTGAAAGAACAAACCAGTGATCCATGCTATACTCTAACCATGACTTCATTTTCACAGTCCCCAGATACCATGCTCTGTCTCCCCTCTGGGTCTTGGCCAATTCAGTTCCCTCTATGCATGCTGCCTACTGCACTGTGCTCATGCTGACAGCACTCACATCTCAGCTTAGGGGCCACTGCCTCACGGGAGTGACCACATCCTCACAGGAGGATGGCCCTCCCTGGGGCCCCTTTACCTGGGCTGTTAGAGTGCGCTGGGCTGCGTGGCGGGGTGTGCTTTCCATGCTTATGTGTTTCCCCAGTGAGTCTGGGAGCCTCAAGGGGGTGCAAACCAGGTCTGCCAGGTCCCCAGAGCCTGGCCCATAGTAAGTACTCAACCCTTCTTAATGGAAGGAAGAATGAAAGGAGAGAGAATAGATGGAGGGAAGGAGGGAGGGATGCTTTGGGAATGAGAGAGAATGAGGGAATGGAAGTTGAGTGGAAAAGAGCAGTGTCCAGGAATCAACCCTCCTTAGAGCCAGATGGAAGCCAGAACTCCTCACATCCCAGGAACCCTTCCCCTCTCTCATGCACAGTGTTAACCAAATAATAACAGCAGTCCAAGTCCTTAGGCCTCCACAGCAGTTCATCGTGCTCTTTCACATCCTTGGCCTAGTTCCAGTCCTCTAGACATCCCTGAGAAGGGCTTATATGCTATTCCCCTCATTTTAAAGATGAGAATTCAACAAATGGTGCCAGATTACTGGACAATCCCCAAGAGACGCACTTAGACTCTTACCTCATACATGCAAAAATTAGCTCAATATTGATCATAGATTTCAATGTAAGAGCTAAAACTATACAATTTTTAGAAGCAAATGTAGAAGAAAATCGTTAAGACATTGGATTAAGCAGTTTACTTAGATTCAAAACCAAAAGCGTGGTCCATAAAAGAACAATTTCATACACTGGACTGTATCAAAATTCTAAACTTTGGTTCTTCCAAAGATACCAGGAAGGAAATGAAAAAAGAAGCAAAAGACTGGAGAAAACTATTTACAAAACAGATACGTGATAAAGGACCAGCATCCTGAGCATAAAGATGAGGAAAGAGGCCCTTAGAGATGATGCCCATAGGGACAGCCTGGGTCCCTAAGTCACCAGTCTCCCCACTGCATTTGTCTTTTGCAGCAGCTGCACAGCTAAGTGGAGCCTGCAGACCTGACTTTGACCCTCTCAGGAGAACTGACTCAGGTAGGGTAAGTCTTGGCAAGTCCCTCAGACCCAGATGTGCCCCCAACCTGCTTCCTCAGCTAGGGCACCCCCTAGTGGCTACCAGCAGAACTGTGGCTTCCTGCGGCCGAAGACATCGCCTGCATTTGCTGAGACACCCCATCCCTCCCAGGGATCCTAGAAATGCCACTGCTGCTACTGTGACCCTGGCGGAAGGTGTACTGTTAAGATGTACCATGTTCAGTGTAAACAATTATAAGTTTACATTTGGTTGAACATGTTAGTGTAAATGAGTTAACCAATAACCTGGGGTAAAAACACTGTGGGCAGCCTAGGCAGAAAGACAGGGGAGCAGAAAGTCAGGAAACTTAAAAATGAGGCTCTGTTAGATGCTAATCTGAGGGTAGGAGGGTGATTCATGTGGTCTCCTTCCTTCCTCCAGAATTAATGTTATTATGCCTTTCCCCCTATTTTTATGAATTAATACCAGAAGCCCAGACTCTCAGGCCACCTCCCATCTCCTGCATGCCAGGCCCTTTACCTTCATTTCCTTCTCCATTCTCATCTCCCAATCCTTTCCAAATCCTGAAACCATTCCACTATGCCATCTGGACTCTCCATCCACTTTTTATTTTACAAATACCTATGTGATGCTTCCTGGGCTCCAAGTCCTGTTCTCCATGACTGACAGACCCTAACCCACTTAGTCCTCTTAATTGCACTGTGAAGTGGGTGCTAATTGCTAGCACCATCCCCATTTTACAGATGAGCCCATGAGACCCAGAAACACCCCCAGTTCCTCAGTGCCTCACTCTCTCCCTTTGAACTGGAACCACAGACTCCCCAGGACTCAGCTTCTCTCCCAACCCCCTCAGGGATGGCTTCTGTTTCTCCCCCAAGACCCCTGGCCTGGGGATGGAGAGACGTCTTTCTTGCTCCTCTTTGCAAATTCCAGGTCCCTCCTTCCTCCCTTTGAAGCCCCCATCTTGGACCCACTATTCCTGTCTTCATTCTCACTGACGTCAATAGCCACACATCCACAGAGATAACGATCCTGCTAACTCTCTAGCCTCTCAGTTCCTTGACACTGCCCAGCTGCTCACTCCATGGTCAGGCCCTGGACCTTATCACTACCAGTAACTGCAATCCCTTTCTAATCTCAGGGTCACACAGCTCATTTTCCAGCACCCATGTCCTATTCTGTCCGCTCACGCCCTCTAGGACTCAGCAGGTCTTCCCAGTTGGAACTCCAGCACCTTTCGCTGTTTCTCGCCCACCCCGTGTCTCATTTCTCTCCTTACCTGGCTCAAATTCCACAGCCAGTCACAAACACCTTCAACCTAACACCTTGCCTACACCTTCAACACTCTTGTCTAATTTCATACTTGCTTGGAAAACCTCTGCCCTGGCTACATTTAGCTGTCTGCCTACTCCACGTCTACAACTGCACAGATGAATACAGCTGGGGAAGGCACAATGGGTGTGGCTGCTCTGGTCTGTTAAAGACCTTGAGCCTCAATGGGCGCTCAGTGCTTCCCAGCAGTCCTACTACCATCCATCCACTACCCCAGTCCATTCTCTGGATCATTCCTGGGCTTCAGTTTCCACCTTTTTTCCCTGTCCACAAACATCCCACATATGCCCTCTGCCCACCACCAGCACTGCACAGGCACCCGAGACTCCATCCCCTCTTCATGGAGGAAACAGAAGCAGTGAGGAATGTGTGTCCACACGCCACACCAGGACACCTGCTCCCCTCCTGCTACTGTGGGTCAACTGTCCAGCTCTAGGTGAAGGCCAGGTTTTCCACTTGGGCACTAGTTCCCCACCCCTCCCACACCCTCACCTTGCTCCAGTGATTCCCCATCTCTCCTGTCCCAGCAGATGTTTATTTCCTACTGGATCATTCCCGTCAGTGCACCCTGTGCTACTGGTTCCCGCCCTGCCCTGTCCGCCTCTCAGCACTCTCTTGGGGAGTTGTTCCTGCCCCTTGGCTCCAACCCTCTCCTCTCACTCTCAGGCGCCTGTTCAGTCTGACCACTACGAGCCTCCAAGTTGCTTCAACTATGGCTAATTGTCAGCTGTCGTCTTACTTGGCCACATCAACACAACGGGCCCCTGCCTTCTACAGGAGACATTTTCCTTTTTTGGCTTCCAGAGCATCACCCTCTTCCAGGGCTTCCTCCTTCCTCACTGGCTGCTCTTCTCAGTCTCTTTCTGTTTCTTCCTCATCTGCCTAATCTCTCCACACTGGAGCATCCCAGGGCTCAGACTGTGACCTCCCCATATGCTCGCTCCTTTGGTGACCAAGTTCCACGTCCCTAAGAGTCATCTGCATACTGGTGACTCCCACATGTATGTCCGCAGTCTACCCTCTGAACTGCAGCTCACGTATCCACAGCCTACTCAACATGTCCAAACTCCTGATGCCCCCAGCACCCTGCACTTCCTGTCTTTCCCATCCAGTAATAGCACCTCTATTTTTCTGGTTGCTCAAGCCAAAAACCTTAGAGGCATATTTGACTCCTCTCTTTCATAGTCCCTGTCCAACCTGTCAACATATCTAGTTGGCTTCACCTTCAAAATATTTCTACAATCTGACCACTTCTCACCACCTCCATTGCTTGCATTCAGGTCCAAGCTACCCTTATCTCCTGCCTTGATTGCTGCAATATCCTCCTAACTGGCCTCTCTATTTCTACCTCTCTGCTTGCCCTGGCCCCATGTATTCTCAGTACAAGGGTCAAAGCGGTTCTATCAATGCATAAGTCATTTCACGTCACTCCTTGGTTCAACCCCTTTTACCACCACCTACCAATCCTCCCCCCGCCCCGCCATGCCCTTCACTCTACCTTGTCCAGCCATACAGGCCCACTTGCTCTTCTTCAGTGCTGCCTGTTGCTCTGCTTCAAGTGGCCTTTGCCCCATAGCTATATTTGCTCCCTCTCTTCAAGACTTCGCTCAAACACCCTCCTCTCAGTAAGGTCTTCCCTAACCACTCACTTTACGATCGTAATCTCACCCTCATTCCTGCACTGCTTCTTCCCACTAGAATCTCAAGAAGGAGGGATTTTATTTATCTTGCTCACTGATGCATCACCAACATTAGTCTGGCACAAGGCAGTTGTCCACTACATATTTGTTGAATGAATGAATGAGCCTGCTTTTCTTAAATGGTCATGAAGAACTTCCACGGTAAGAAGAGGTCTCGGCTTAAACAAATGCTCTTAAAATCACAGCAACTTTGTGGATAAGTCCAAACAGCTGCCCATTGCCTCCAGTTTTCACCTGCTCTTCCCACTCTTATCCATGCTTGAAGAATATTGATGCCAGTGCCCAAGAGCTCTGCATTTGAGTCTTAGGCTCACTGGAGTGGTTCAGGTCCCTGGGCAGATGCTGGTCTCCTGGTTCGAGTTTGATGTAAGACAGTGACATTACTGAGCACAGCTGTGTGCCAGGCACTCATGATCCTTACCTAATTTAGTTTTAGGAGCTATTGCCTTTCCTGAAAATTGGATAAGAGAATTTTAGGACATTAGAGATGATCATCTGTGAGCCCTCTCTGTACAGGCAGCCCATGAGTTCAGTGGTTCGGTTCTTCAGATTTAGTATTTGCACCCTATGATCTTACCCACCTTTGTGAAGTGTGTTGATTTATATATAAGAAAAAGCTTCACAAAGGTAGAATTAGGAATACATATTTGGATGTGCATTTTAGGAAGACACATTTGAATATGCATTTTATAACTCTTTTTATAAAGGGAGCAAGTGGTACAAAATAAAGATGTTCCCAAGGGACCTGGGCTATTCTTCTGTCTCAGAACTGGATTTGTGGAAGCTGTGCTCCTAGGTCAGGGCTATGTGCCATCTCAGGGCTGACCCTCCTGCCTGACCAATTGCAGGCTGACACTGGGCACTGGGTTTGAAGTGTATTCAGTGCTCCTCCCCCAAATCCCAGCAGGCTTCTGAGTTTCAGCATGAGAGGAATTCCTTGTGTCTGACCTGGACACCCCTATCTTCGCCAGGGAGCCTCCCAGGATGTCTGTCTCGCCAAACAACCTGAATTTGGTGGAAAAGGCACCAAATGTATCAGCAAGGGACTGCTTCCAATCTCGGAGCACCGTCCTGCAGGGGCAGCCCTTTGGAGGGGTCCCCACCGTGCTGTTCCTCAACGTCATCTTGTGGGTGGTGAGTCCCAGGCACTGTGGTGGGCAGACCACGAGGTCTCAGCTGGGGCAGCTGGTTGAACCTTCATAGTGATGCCACAGGGCCTCCTGCTGTCCAAATGGACCCCACCAAATGGTTCCCAAACGGGAACTCGCTGGTCTGCGTGGGTGGGCCTCAGGAAAGAGGGGGCTGCAGGAGCAGGCATAATTCCTAAGATTCTCTTCCATGTGCCATTGTCCAAAGGCCCTCCTGGCCAGTGTCCTTGGGCCTTCCTTCTCCCTCTCATTGCTGATTTCTTCAAGGAGCGTTCTTGTGCCATAGTTCTAAATATGCCACCAGCACCTTCATTCAACAAACTCTGAACATCCACTCTGTGCCAGGAATCCGCAAGGCACTGGGAATCCAGAGTTGAAAGAGCCAGCCACTTAGTTTGGAGGCCCTAGGGAGGCCCCTGGGGACCTCAGGGACAGGGTCTCCCCCATGAGAATTCAGGGACCACCAAGGGAAGACATGAGCTTTCTCACCTGCCGTCACCTTTCCTGGCCTGTAGCTCATCATTCTGGTTTACTCCTTCCTCCGGAAAGCTGCGTGGGACTATGGGCGCCTGGGTCTGCTGATCCACAATGACAGGTGAGGAGAGGCTGGGGCCTGGAGGAGTGAGCTGCTGGCAACCCTGGAAGATGTGCCGCCACAGCCAGGATGTGGCTCTGACCTGTGCCCTAGCCACAGCGGGTGACCCATCAGCCATCCCTGCCCCTGCTCTGGCCCTCCCTGCAGGTAGGGAACTTGGAGGGCAGCCACCTATGGGCACCAGGCCACTTTTTTCTCAGATCCAGACTTGCTGAATCCTGTGACTCCCAAGATGTTCTGGGGGATTATCGTCTGTCCCCAGAGATGTGTACAGCTCAGCGAACAAACTGGGGCATGCCCACTCTTGGGCAGGAGGGGACTGCAGCCCCAAGGCAGGCACCTGAGGCCTTTCCTCTCCTTTTCTACCTCCCTGGCCTTCCCTGGCCACAGCCTGACCTCGCTGATCTACGGGGAGCAGAGTGAGAAGACGTCTCCCTCGGATATTTCCCTGGAGATAGAGCACAAGGACAAGGTGGGTGCCAAGGCGGCCTGAACTGGGGGGCCCTGGCTCTGGGGCAGCCCTGGCATGTGCAGGAAGGAGCCCGCTCACAGTCAGGGGCTGTGCTGCCAGCCACACCCAGCCACTTCTGGCAGCATGACCTTAGACAAATTCCTCGGCTTTGCCAAGCCTTTTTCCCCATCAGAAAGATGGAGATATTAACCATACCTACCTCCTAGGATGCCAAGTATTAAATAATTCTACTATTTTAAAGAGATTTTTAAAACTAGTTTTTCTACTCTTCTCAAATCTCCAATCCTTCTTACAGCCCCAATCCTGCCCCAGTTTCCCACTCTAAGCCAAGGAACTCACCTCCCACTTCACATAGAAGATTCCAGACATCAGGTAGGGATTCCCTCAATCTCCTGCCACCCAACTCTCCCACGTGGAGCCCAGTCTTCTCCTTCCTTCTCTTCCTGTGGAATGCTAGTCCCCGACCAGAGCATGCTCGTTCACTGAGCCCCTTGCTAGGAAGCACCTGCCGTGGGCCAGCCGCTGCTCAGCAGACTGGAGTCCTGTCTCATGGCACTTTCCTCCTGGGTGAGAGACGCCAAGTCAGATGCGGATAGGACAGTGGTAAGGGCAAGAAGGCAAAAAGGGGCAAGGAAGGCCCCTACCAGCAATGGAACAGAGCTGGAACATTATAGATGGTGGTCAGGGATGGTCTTGGGCATAAGATGACATCTGAGCAGGGACTTGAATGCAGAGGGTGGGGGGACCACGAGACCCTCCCTTGCCCCCACGACTGCCGGTCTCCTTCTGCCCCATCATAGCCCTACTCCTGAAAGACAGGCTGTGCTTGCTGTCTGCATTTCCTCACGTCCGCTCCCTCCCCAACCCACTGAATGTGTCCCACCCCTGTCACTCCACCCAGACGGCCCCAAGGTCATCAGTGGTCCTGTGCCACGAAATCCGGTGGACATTCCTCATTTCTCATTTCAGCTGCTCCCTCTGAAATGTCAAATACTGTAGACCATCCTCCCTTCTTGAACAGGCACTTTTGGTTGCTTCTATGATGTTATGCTCTCTGAGTTTTCCTTCTGCCTCTCTGCCCATTCCTCCTCCATCCCTTTGCGGGCTCCCCCTCGCACCTGGGGTTCCCCGCTGATCCCAGACCCACCCCCTCTAGCTCTCCACTTCCCTGCCAGGCAGGGTCACCCACACTCACCATTTCTGTTGCCACCTCTACATGGATCGTTCCTGAATTTTCCATCTCTAGCCAAACCTCCCTGTGGGTTCCAGCCGCAGTTATCCAGTGTGCTTCAATACACCCACGAGGATACTGTAAAGTCATTTCCTGTTCAATACATCTAGAACATGCCATGACATCCCTCCTCCCCAACCCGTTCCTGGATCGCTGCTCTCAGAGTCTTCCCGCCATCCACCCAGGTGCACTGCCCTTGCTCCTGCCCAGGCTGATGGGCAGTCAGCTCATTACCAAGCGTCACTTCCACCTTCCCAGTTTTGTTTTTTTCTCTCCACCTCTCCCCCACTCCCCACTTGCTAGGATGACTCTGGTGGCCTCTAACTGATCTCTTTATGCCAATGCTTGCTCCCTACCGCATCCATTTTCTACCTACATCCAGAGTAATGCCCATGGAAGGGAACACACATTTCACTGTGTAGACCTTCAATGGCTTCTGAATCCTTGGGGAATAAATTGCAGGTGCCTGCCTAGCCATGGTCTCATGATCTGGCCTCTTGTCCACCTGTCCAATTTTTCCCTCTCAACTGCCCCACCCCTGGCCACAGTGACTATCTTTTAGAGCCTCAGAAGTGCCACCCCTTCCCTCCACAGGGCCTTCCACCTGCTCTGCCCTCTCCCCTTCCCCGTCTCCAGTTAACAACCTCACCCTTTGTTCAGATTTTGGCTCAAGCACCACTTTCCCAGGGAGCCCTGTCCAGCCCGTCTGGGTCCAGCTCCTTTGTTACATACTCACAGAAAATACACTCCCTTCCTTCCCACTCTTAGCCCAGTCTGTCCCGATCCCTCGTCTACACGCTCGGACCTGTGTGTCTGCTTCCCCAGCGAGAGCAGGCACTGACCTGGTGGTGTTCACCACTGTCCCTGACCCGGTGAGCCTGCCGTGTAATTAACACCTGGTTTGTTGGATGTGATGACTCAGTAGAACCATATTCCTTCTGTTATGATCCCTCCAAAACCTTGTCCCGTTGCTTGCCAGGACCTGCCCTGAGCAGGTCCGGGATGCCTCAGACCACTTCATCTCTTAAAGGTTCCTCTTTGAGACAAGGACAGTCACGCCTACCTTGCAAGGTAGCTCTCAGGTTTATTTTTAGAAACATCACTTTGGTTGGTGTTTGGGGTATTTTTTTGTGCAATGACAGAGATCATTTTATTTTTAAAATACCTAAGAATATAAATCATTATGGCAGCAGTGGAGCATCCCAGCAGAAGAGGGAGAAGTTAGACAAGAAGGGAGAGTGTAGGGACATGGCCCCTGTAGTGCTTGGCCAGAACGGTGGGGCCTCAGCTAGGCTGAGTGGTGTTGGAAGCAAGTGAGTCACCGTAGGGCCCCAGGCAAAGCAGGGCAGATGTCCTCACCCATGTGGCAGGGAGCGGACAGGAGGAGGCCACCAAAATGGGTGCAGTGAACTGACTGCTGGCACTTGATGTCTGCTGAGTGGGCTCTTGGGAACTTGTGGGCATTTCCTGCTTGGACGAGGAGAAGAGGGGAGATGCGGTCTGCTTCTCAGGCCTGCTGTTCAGCTGCCAAGTTTTCTGAATGGTTTGTGTCTTTCAGAGCTACAGTGTACATTCGGAGGAGTGTGTATGTGTATATGTGGGTGTGTGGGTGTCTGTGAGACAGAGATGCTCACTCACACATCTGTGTGTGTACGATTTTCATAGGCCCATAGGCCCCACTTCTACTCAGGACCTCTGCCCTTTCATGGACAGTCCTGTTTGTGTGAATTACAGGACGTGTACATGCCTTGTGTGGTATACACCTGTATACCTGTCTTGGAAGGGGTGGAGGTAATTCCCAGAAGGTGTGTCCTCCACTGTGTATAACCACTAGGGCCCATCAACAAACCTGCCTAATAAATTGTACCCCTATTTGCCCTAAGGTGGGTGGTGGAGGAAGACTCTTCATATGGGGTGGAGTGGCTAGACTTTCATCCCAAATTTTGTCTAGCAATTCACCCCCTCCCTGGGGACATTCCCAATTGCTGCTGCCACCATCATGCTATTCCCTTTCACTCCTCTGACTCAGACCTGCGCCTCTGGGCCCACTTGGGTCATGCTCCTGTTTATTAGCTGGCCGCTGGTGGCTGACCCCTACTTGATGGACAGCCCACAGGCCACATGCATGGGGAAGGGGCATTTCACAAAGAAAGCAATGAGGGACAGACAAAAAGCAACTGACGTCTACCCCCTAAAGGATCCCTTCTCCCCCTCCAGTCCAAGGCCCACTTTCTCAGCCCCCGATTCCTGTAAATGGATGCTGATGGCATTAATGTCACCTCACTTCAGGGGAGACACAGCCCTCAGCAGTCACACTGGTTCCAGATGGAGCCGGCTTCCATCCAGTACTCAGGCTTTCTTGCTGCCGTCACTTGCCTGGGAAGGAGGCCCCTTCGGGACGCTGCCCTCGCACTGCCTGGGTTCCCAGAGCGGGGACGGGTGGGGACGGGCAGGTCCAGGCCTAGATTTTCTCACATTTTCTCTCTTTTTTCCCCAGCACTTCTATTCCTGGTTCTTCAACACCATCACCATGAAGTAAGTGCCTGAGCTTCCCAAGCGTGTGAGAGCAGCATTTCCTCATTTGGGGGAAGGTGGGAGGGGAGTCTGGGCCTGAGGTCTGTACCCCAGTCCCCACACCCCGCGGACCACCTCAGTCCAGCTTGGGCAGAGAACTCATTCCAGGGCTACAGTTGGTGAAATGGGAACTGGACATAGCCCATGTCCTGTTTTATCTCTGCCACAGCCCTCAGGAAAGAACCACTGTCACATGCTTATAAGAACACTTTTATGAACTCTACACCAGGGAAAAGAAATCCTTCCTGAATTCTTTGTGCTTTATTTCTATGAGCATAGTTTGTCACATTTGCAAAATGGAAAAAATAAAACCCACTGGGCAAAAGGGCAGGTTTCTCCTCTGAGCCTCAGCTAGCAGATTGCAGAGGGACCACCCTTTGCCCACCTCACCTTCTGGGTTTCTTTACTGCCAGACCCTCCTTAGCAAGAAAACGGACCCCAGGTCACCTGTTCTCTCCTGAGTCCCTGTACCAGCCTGATGCTTCAGCTGGGCACTTAGCAGAACTCTATGCACCCCCCACACACATACACATACATGTGTGCACACAGCTCTGCCCCCCACCTCAGGGCCCTGTATGTTCCTGGGCTCTCCCTAAACATCCCCTATCCTTCCTGCCCTTCAAACCCCTCCTCCAGGGTGCTTTCTTGCCTGGTGAGACCTCCTTAGGGTGCGATCTCCCAGCTCCCCAGAGGCCAGTGATCCAGGGGCCTGGCTGGACTCGTTAATTTGCTTCTTTGCAGAGGCTCAGAGGACTTCTTCCTTCAGGTGCCTCCATGCTCACCAACCAAGGGCCTGGCTGGGAGCATTCATACATTTCCCTAAGACCCCCAAGCCATCCCCATGAGCCACACCGGCAAACCCCTCTTCCCCCAGACCTGCTAAAGGGCCTGAAAGCCTGTCAGGGCAGAGGGCACCCTGACTGGGCCCTGGGAAAACCATGCTGGGCTTAGGACCAGCAGCCTCTGGTGTTTGGGCTCCACCTTGGTAACAGGCGACTCCCCACGGCTTAGGCCTCCAGTCAGCCTTTGTTACTCATCTGAGTCCCCAGAAAATGACAGAGCTAGTTTGTATGTGGTTCAAGAATCTTAGCCGCATGTGGGGTGAGTGAAGGGGACACTATTTCTTGGCACCATTTCTGGTTTTGCTTTGTTAATCTTTGAAATATGCATGAGCTCACATAAATACATCTTCATTAAGAGAAGCATGGAAGTTCACCTCTAGTCTCTCACACCCCTCTTCACAACCCTCCTAGAAGCAATCCCTGTCAACAATTTCAAGGGAATTTAACTTTTTACTTTTGACAAGCATTTGTCTACTTTTATATTTTTAAAATAACCAGTAATATATATGAACATTTGGAGTTTGTTACCTTGTGAGGCTGTACTGGCTATAGGTTCCTGGGTTTCATAAGTTCAGGCATGATGGGCAGGGGTGTGAGGGCAAATGAGCCGGCTCTCTGCTGCAAGAGATAAGGGAAACTGGGATGCATGGGCCTGCTTGAGCTGACCACGTCCTCAGGAGTAGGATAGTTTGAGGCTGACTTTCTTATTTTCTCCACCGTCCGCTGACACGTTAATGGGTAGACACAGGGAAGGAAAGAAAGTGTCTGTGCATGTATGGGGGGTGGGGGATAGGTACAAGCAAAACAGCAAAATTCCATGTGGTAGTGTCTCTGTGGTGTGCATGGAAGTATGACATAAAAGACACACGTCATTGCATTGGGGCAAGTCTGTGTGTACAGCTATGTGAGTGTGCATACCTGGTCCTGCAGGTCAGTGGGAGGTCAGTGGGCACAGCTGTGTGTGTCTTTGTGAGAATCCTTTGCTCCCATCCCCACTCCACCCAAGGACCCCCCTCCATTGGGAGCATATCATCCAGGAAGAGAGGAAAGCTGGACATCCTAGTATGCATGCTGCCCCCTTGGGGAGCTGTGTCTAGAAGACAGCTTAATAGAATGAATTCACTGAGCAGGGACAAGGAAAAAAATAGAGTTTTAAATAACTCCCTAGAGGGGAAGTTGAAAACCCTGACAATATGCTCTTTGTAGTATCGTTTAAAAATAAATCTGAATCCTGGACTGGATGCTAGAAGTTGCCCACAACCTATAAGCCTGACCAGAAGGCAAAGGTGAGTAAACTATGGGACATCTACCAGTGGAGTAGGGAGGCCATCTTGGATCTGGGCATGAACCAGTGCTCCACAGACAGAGGCCACTGTCACCGTTGTTACTGCACAACCATGGAAACATCTAGACAAAATGAAGAACAGTTGGAGAAGGCTTGAGATTAAATGCTAAGCAAAAGAGCAATGCATTGAATACTGTTTATACTATAGTTACTAAGTTAAACCAGTGTGATAACAAGAAACTAAAGGAAATTACCAAAATGCTTAGTAGTCATCACCTTAGGTTGGATGAGATTATAGATGAATGATTTTCTTCTGTTTTGCATTTTCCTAAATTTCTAAGATGCTTCTGTATAACAACACATGCTTTTAATTTTTTTATTGAATTATAACACAGAAAATTCCACAAAAAGTATATGTCCAACTTAGCACAAAGAAAGCCTATACAGCCACCATCCTGATCAAGAATTAGAGTATTGCCAACACCCCAGAAGCCCTCCCCTCCGCCTCTTCCCTCTCAATTCTCTCCCATCTCCCCAACTCCAAAGGTAACCAGTATCTGGATTTCTAACTCTCTAGTTCAATATTGCCTATTTTTGAACTTTGTATGTAAAATCATTCAGCCTGGGTTTGTGCCTGGGTCTTTCACTCAATGTTGTGTTTGTGAGGTTCAGGTGTGGCCATTCATCTTCATGTCTGTATAGTATTTCATTATACACATATATAAAACATCTTAGTATATCTATTATACATATTACACATATTTATCACATATACATATATATCTCACAATTCTTGTGTCCATCCCACCTTTGATAGATATTTAGGTTTTTTCCAGTCTGGGGCTGTTACAAATAATTCATCTATTAGATTTCTATATGTGTCTCTTGATACATATATGCATGTATTTCTGCGGGGTATAAATCTAGGAGTGGAATTGCTAGGTCACTGGGTGTGCATGTATTCAATTTCTGTCAATAATACCAACTGTTACCCAAAGTGGGCAGAGTGTGTACTCATGAATGTGGAAGAACACCTAGTCCCCCCATGCCTTTGTCAGCACTTGCTAGTGTCTGACCTTCTAACTTCAGCCAGTCTGGCATTGTGGAGTGATATCTCATTGTGGTTTTAATTTAAGGAATTAAAAGAAACAACTTAGAGAAAAACAGGATGCATCTTTGTCCAGTGCCTACGCCATAGCAAGCACTCAAAATGTTTGAAGAAGCAATAGAAGATGGGGTGAACACTTGATTTCAGAAGTGCCTCTGGGTTCCCAAGTGTGTATCTGTAACTTAGCCCCCATCTTTGATATGCCTGTGATATCTAGTGAAATACATTTTAGGTGTAACGGAGGTTCTGAGAAGAAGTGTGATATTTCTAAAAAGAAAATTAAAACTTGAGCGTAGGGTGGTAATCTCTTTTTTTCCTTTTTTTTAAGTTGGAGGGAGCCAAGTTAAACTGTGGCCACAGTGGCTTCTGAGGAACATCCTTGTCTGTGTGTCTCTTCCAGGAATGAAGATCTGATTAGCAAGTGTGGAGACGATGCCCGCATCTACCTCATGTTCCAGTACCATCTCATCATCTTTTTGCTTATCATCTGCATCCCCTCCTTGGGCATCATTTTGCCCATCAACTACACTGGAACAGTTCTGGGTAGGTGGAGCTCAGCAGGCCCTGGGTCTGGGCCACTAGATCTAAGAGGCAGCCTAGTAGATGGAACAGACTCTGGATCTTGGTAGTCTAGAAATCAGAATTTTAATCCCACTTCTCAGGATTAGTTATGTGACCTTAGGCAATCCATGCTTCAGTTCTTTAATGTGGGGACTGGAGCTGATACCTCCTTTGTCTGGCCAGGGCCTGGCACACAGCATGTACATGGTAGTAATTCAGTCTGGAACTGAATGGTTTTCCATGACCCCACCTGCACCTGGCCAAGAGTTCATGGAGGCCTTTGCATGACATGTGACCCACTGCAAACATCCCTGAACCTGAACTTTCCCTGCACGCACTCAGACAGACACAGCAGCATAAGCACAGAATTTGTCTCATGGGAAGCATATTCACACTTGTTCTAACAGGTTAAGTCCTTCTGGCAAAATAACATTGTAGGTAAGGGCTTGGGCTTCAAAGTCAGAAAATACCTTGGTTCTCCAACTTTTACCTACATCTGCTTCCCAGGAAATACCTTTGCCCAATCTAGCAAATTATTTCATTATATTTTATAGCAAAAAATATAAATCAATTTCTCCAGGCTTCAGTTTTCTCAGCTGTCATGGGGATTGGGAGATAATGTGTGTCAGTGCCTGGCACAATGCCTGATACACAGTGAGTACTCAGGGAAGACAGCTGGTATTTTACTTAGAAATATGAAGTGGACAGAGCTGTATGAAGCCTGTACAACTAGGTGGTATAGGATAGCACCTTAAATGCCCTGTTGGGAACCAGTTTCACCCTGATCCTCAGGTTTCTCCTCGGCCAGAAGTAGACCTAAATTAATTCAAAGTCTCACACAGGGCTCATGCCACCAAATACCATTACCAGAGTAAATAACTTCTCAGTCCTGTCTTTCCAGATTCCCACCTTAAGATCTAGTGTGTCAGCAATGATAATATAACTTAGGATTTCTAGACACATTTTCATAAAACCTGGAGATGTCTAAAGTGACAAACTAACACACTTAGCCAGAAGGGTTGACTGTGCAAATGGGACAGCATCACATTTTCCAGAGTTCCAGGTTCTTGTGATTGTTGCCAGTGGTAACAAGATTGCTGGTTTTGTCATTCGGCTTGTGGTGAGCAGCTGGGTCCCTTTGACAAGCATTTACTATGTCTGCTATGTGCCAGTTCTGCACTGGGAGGCCGTGCCAAGACTTGGTCTCACTCCACAGCCAAGGAGCCCCACACGGCAGTCCCAGGGAGAAGAAGAGGCCTCTTCTATTTTTGTTGGGTGTTGGGGACAAGCTCTGGGGAGATGGAAGGAAGAGCAGGATATAGGCAAGCATCTCGAGACTCCAGGCATTCACTCGGAAGCCTTCCATTCTGGGCCCTGCACTGGTCAAGGAGCCGGGCTTGAGGCCAGCGACTTTCTTCTCTTTCAGACTGGAATAGTCACTTTGGCCGGACCACCATCATCAATGTCTCCACAGAGTAGGTACCTGATCCTCTTAGTTCCCATTCTACTGGCTGGGGTCACTGATGGGGAGATAAGGTCCCATGTGTGAGTCTAAAACATGAGCACTGCTTTGCTCATAAGAAAGGCCTGATTTTCTTGGAACCCAGGCCCTGAGGAGGATGCCAGATGTTGCATTCTCTGATGGGACAGGACTCTTGGTGCCTCAGTGTCCCCATCTCTGTAATGGGTGGAGCTACCCAAACCAGCCACTCCTGAAGACCTGGAAGGATGGTCCAGTTAGCCTAGTATGTCCAGCTCCTAGGAGGCAAGGACCCTTTAGCAAGCAGAGATGTAAGGTGGTGTTTCCCTGCCCACAAAACAGTGAGCTATTTTATAGTTCAACCCTCATATGGCTGAACAGGTCATAGGCCAGATTCCCACAGCAGAGGACTGAGGAATCACTTGACCTGGGATCACACCCAACCTCTGTCACTGGCTGGCCAAGGGCGTGGGGCAGTGCACCTTCCTCTCTGAGCTTCATTCCTAATCCATGATGAGGAAAAGCTGTTGGATCTCTCAGCCCCATCCAGCCCTCGTGGTCCAGGAACCCATGGATTTTAATATCAGCCAACACAACTGGTGGCAAAATCAAGAGCCTGGTCCTGTTGGTCCATGCTGAGAAAATAGGGCCACTGGGCATGTTGGCTAGGCTTGGCTGACTTCCTGACGAAGTTGAAACTGCAGTTCCAGCAGGTGTGAGCTGGGATTCACATACTCCTGCCCCACCTCCTTCCCACCCACCACCCCACCCCTCTGCTCCTGCACCCCTGCAATCCATCAAACTCCAAAATCAGCAGAATGGGGCCATGGCATCCTTTCATGTCCCCTTTCAGCCAGCTCCTCCCAGGGGATGTAACACCAGAGCAGAGCTCCCCAGCTTTCCCCAGACCAGCCACTCATGGATGGTCCCTACACCGTCCCAACAAGAAGTGAATTTCAGTAGGGCACCCAAGACCCTTCAACATCCATAAACCCATACTGACAGAGAACTGGAATGTTCCTTGGAGACCATGCAACCTCTCCCCCTCTGTGGAAACTGAGGAACAAAGCCTCTAGCCTGATGGGAATGTTAGGTGATATGTCAGGCACTGGAACCAGTGGTGAGGCATTCTTTTGAAGCAAGGTGCCCTTTTCTCCTCAAATCACACCAAGTAACGTGGGTCTATTTCTGAGCCATCATCCTGGCCAGATGCCTTGGGTCAGCATCATGGGAGCCCAAAGCCCAAGTGCCACCGCTTTTCCCACCCCAGGGGAGGTGGAGCGGACCTACCCTCCTCCCTTCCGGGCCTGTATATGACCCCGGAGTCTCTCACCACAGAGATCAGATGGCCCTTTTGGGCCAGTCACTGCCACTCCAGCCCTTACTTTCCAACAGGGAAAATGAACTTAGTCACAGTACCACCCCCACATCATGTGAGAATCTCATGAGAAAATATACATAAAGCATCTAGTCCCACCCCTGTATACCTTTATTAGCTGGTGCAAGATACTCCCTTCGCCCCACTGCCATCCCTTCCAAGGTGTCCAGGTGTCTGGCGGTACCAGAGGGGGCCCAGGGGGAGGTCAAGGGGTGTGGGAGAGGGCAGTCTCACCCCTCCTGTGTCTTGTTCTGGCAGGAGTAAGATCCTGTGGCTGCACAGCCTCTTCTCTTTCTTGTACTTCATCACCAGCTTCCTCTTCATGGCTCATCACTGTTTAGGGTTTGTGCCCAAGAAGAGCTACAAGGTACGTGAAAGACCTACCAGAGCCAGGCCCGCCAGCTAACCCCACCCCAGTGGCACCCTCTCACTCCCAGCCTTCAGAGGCGTCCCAGCTGGGCACTCCCTGCACCCTGCAGGGGGCGGTCCCACCTGAGCAGAGCCTCCGCCCATTACCTGGCCCCCAGACACAGTTGTCCTGGTTGTTAAACCACTGGACCACTTCCAGACCTGTTGGTAAACAGCTGCCCCTAGGTGCCTCTGAACTCCTGCACCCTGCTGCCCTGAGCCCCCTCCAAGGACCCCGGACCTCCCCACCATCCTTAGACTAAAGGGTTAACAACCCCCTGGACCAGCAGGGAGCCTCCATCCTGTGGTCATTGCCCCCTGCTGGGTAAATATTTTTTTTACTATCCTTGCCCACTCACTATGCCCAAGCTCTTTTCCCTCCCAGTCTCTCTGAGGTCAGAGACCCCATGTCCTGCCCCCATTTCCAACGCCTTGGTTTGGGTCACCACCACCCCACCTCCGGGTCAACCCTGAGACTAGGACTAGCACTGCATTTGCTTACCTGGGAGGTGATCCCAGGAAAGACCTGGTGGGGTGCAGACTAGAAGAAAAGACCCAGATAAAAGGGACTGGAGCAGCTCACCCCCATGGGCAGCCGCACTTAATCCCCTCAGGGAGCTCTGGGAATTGGGTAGGACGTGCACCCTAGTTTTCCAGCCTGGAGGGAGCAGTCAGAGGCACTTTCCCACCAGCTCCCTGTTCATCACTGGGTTAGGCTGCATTTAGGGCTTTAACTTTCCACTACTTGCCCTGCCGGTGGGCTGACCCTAGGTGGTTGGGCTGCAGGGTGCAGCTGCCCTCTGGGTGTAGTCACTTGGCCCCACACTGCCGCAGCAGCAGCACACCTGCATACTAGCAGTGGGGCGGGGGGAGTGCAGGCTCTCCCAGCTCTGCTAGGGAAGGAAATCAGTGAAGACAAACACCCTTGGCTCCATCCTCAGCTTTTCAAAGGCTCAATGGAGTAGAATTGACTCCTTCAAGACCATCCATCCTAAAGGCCTGATTCACCTTACCCAACCCCAGAAGGCCAATCCACACAACTCTGGAAAGTTACCCCCGATGCTTTGGCCTGCCAGGCATAAGACTGGGGTACCCCTGACCAGTCGGGGCTCGGCTTCTTGTCATCAGAAGCTTCTGCCTAGACTCCCATCTCATGCAGCCCAGTTTACCAGACTGTCGCATTGAGGTGATAGCTCAGGGAAACATTTCCCACTCACAGAATAAAATGGGAAGTTTGAGGGGCTTCCCCATCCCCTCCCGAGAATCTAGCTCACCTCCCAACTCCTGAGCCCAGTCTAGAGACAGCCCTAGTGACATGGGACTTCACAGGGAACAGGGAGTTGCAAGGAGAACAGAACTATCTATCATGCCACACAGTGTACAACTAAGCTTGAGCAGCCTTTGTGGGCGCTGGAGCTCTGGCCCCCCTGCCTGGCCTTGTCTGCAGCCCATGACTTTTCCTTCACTCAGCCGTCCCCAGCAGGGGGACCAGAGAATAACAGAGATGAGATTTTCCCACCTATGGTTTTCCACGGCCTGCTGACCTCAGGGGCAGGGAGGCTGCCCGGTATGAGGAGAAGGCCTATGCCAGATGGCACTGGGCCGCCCAAAGACCCGGACAGCCAGGAGTCCTCTGTGAGCAGTCGTCTTCCATCTGCGCTCCCCACCTAGGTCACAAGGACACTGATGATCACCTATGTCCCCACGGACATCCAAGACCCAGAAGTCATCATTAAGCATTTTCAGTAAGTGGGTTGGGGGTGCCAAGGCATGGTTTGCCTCCCTCTGATATCCCTGCCTGGATCCTCACGAGGGTAGTGAGTTGGCACAGGATGGTGGGCCAAGAGACACCCCAGGTGGTGGCTCACCCTGGATTCAGTGCCAAATCACCCTTTCAGAAAGGGGGAAGCCCTGTGGCCAGAGCAGTGTTTCTGAAGCCAGGGATTTCCTGCATGGCAAGGGTATGATATGCGTGAAATTTTCCTTTCCCTCATTGCTCCAACTATGGAGCCCGGGAGTTCCTAGGCCACAGCTAGCTAGAGCAGGTCATCTTGAGACATCTTTTGTGACCCAAGTTCGTAGATCTAGGAGCTAATTATCTCTCCATGAGCAGCAATTCCCCACTCTGTCTGCCCCTGGCCCTGTTCTGGGTCATTTGGAAAGGATGTGGCAAACCCTGGATTACCAGGGATCAACTCTGAAATTCAGCCTTAGGAGCAAGGGATGGATTCTCCCATCCAAGAACCAGGAATCACAGGCAACTGACACCCGGCCCTGTGGGCTAGAACTCCGGGTCGGGGGCAGGGTGGCACACCCCTAACCCCACAGGCTGGCTCAGCATCCATGTCTGTGGCTGCAGAGAGGCCTATCCAGGATGTGTAGTGACCAGAGTCCACTTCTGCTATGACATCAGGAACCTGGTCGACTTGGATGATCAGAGGTGAGGCTACAGGGGTCCTGTCTGGGTCTGGGGTGGGGGAAGGAGGGGAGAAGGTAGCTTTGCTGGCCCCAGACCACCAGATCTCCACCCCCACCATTGCCATTGGCTGACAGGCGCCACGCAATGCGGGGCCGGCTCTACTACACTGCCAAGGCCAAGAAGACTGGGAAGGTGATGGTCAAGGTCCACCCCTGTTCCCGCCTGTGCTTCTGCAAGTGCTGGACCTGCTTCAAAGAGGTACCTGGCCCAGCATCAGGGGATGGCAGTGGTAAGGCTGGGGCACTGGGTCTCCAGGCTCTGTCCAGGCCTCTGGGCAGTGTCCCCTGTCCACACCCTATGGCTCCAGGCCCCTTCAGGGCTGCTCAGGTGTTGTGGCTTCTGACTCTTTCCTTCCTTTCCACCGTGTCCTGCCTCCCTGTTGAGAATGTAGTGGAGCTGAAGCCTTCCTTGGGGCTGCCTGCAGAACAGTCCAGGGAGGCCTGCTCTTGCCCACTTCTAGTCTTGGATGGGAGGACCAGAAAAGGCACAGTAGGCTGCTGTGGACGGCTGGCCAGCCTTGTAAAGAGCTAGGCAGGAACATTTAAAGGTCGTGGGCTCCATCTTATCACCCAACCAGTGTGGCTAGAAAGGGACCTCGTGGCAGGACTGAAATCTAGCCAGTCCAGGAAAACAACCATCCCCCTTCCTTAAAATGCTGCAGACACATTCTGTCACTCCTCTGGAGCCCATCCCAAGTCCCAAACTACCTCCTTGCTCCCAGGTATGCCTCACTTTCCCCAAATCTAAGAGCCGGGAGCTAATTTCTGAGTCATAGCCTCCTCAGTTCTAGAGTTGGGGTTGCAGAGTCCAGCTGGGGCCCTGGGCTCTTTGCCAGGTTTCACAGGGAACTGGGAATGGAACGGAGGCCTCAGACCCGCCACCTGAGTGGAGAGAGTCCAGGCGAGGCCTTCCTGGAGCTCTGGCCTCTTTAACTCTGAGGGCCACTTCTTGCCCCAGGTAGATGCAGAGCAATATTACAGTGAGCTGGAGGAGCAGCTGACAGATGAGTTCAACGCCGAGCTCAACCGCGTTCGGCTGAAGCGTCTGGACCTGATCTTTGTCACCTTCCAGGACTCCAGGATGACAAAGCAGTGAGTGCCAGAGCAGGCTGCCTGCTATGCCCGGCCCCAAGGATGGGCCTCTGCTCCTCTGAAACCATCCTTTTTCACCCCCAAGCCCCAGCCACGGGGAGGAGGAGAGAGAGCCTCCCTCCAGTGTGCGGTATGCTGACCTCCCCTCCACCCATCCCTGCTGCTCACCGGCAGCCAGCGTCCTGCTTTCCAGAGCACGTCCACATCGTTTCCCCCCAGCTTCCAGGTACAGCTTGTCTCCGGAGATGCCCAGCATCCTCACTCCTGTGCGTCCTTGCTTCAGCGCGGAGCTGGGTGGAGCCGCCTTTGACCTCCTGGTTCCTCTTCCAGGCCTTCACAAGGAAGACGCCTAGTTTCTCCCTCATCACTCTCTCCTCACAAGAGACCAAGTCAGGGTGGAGAAGCCCTGCTCCCCATTTCTCCTCTCCTGCTGCAGGCCTCCCCTAATTTATAGCCTTCCAGCCTCCTCTCTCCTCTGCCCCAGCCTCTGGCAGCCCCACGTTGATTAGGTCCATTCTGGAATGTTCTGGAAGGATCCTTAGGACTGGGTCAAATAGATGGGGATCCAAGAATCAGTCTCTTGAGAATTGTGGGGGCCCTCCTATCTCTGAGGGATGCTGGTCATGCATAATATTTGCCCACATCTCCCCCTCCCCTCCCACACTCTGCACAGGAACAGCGGGACAGCCAAGAATTTAGTCATGAATAATTGTGTGCAATTTTGCAAGACACCTACACTCTCAAATTTCTTATCTATCAGACTGGGTTACTTATAGCTCCCCTGTCCACCTCCCAGAGGGCTAAGAAGGGATAAGCGTTCTATCCAGTGTGCGTCGCCTAAGGCAGTATCCCCTGCGTGGGATGAGACTGCTCACTGCCTGAGACACCATCACATGGCAGAGAGGCTCTGAGGTTTCATTACAGCAGAAGTGTGAACCGGAAGACCAAAGACAGGCCTCAGTGCCAGCACCTGCCCCTCTTTGCTTGTGTCTTCAGGCACCTCAGTTTAGTAATTTGTATAATTGGGATGATATTAAGCACCAGTTAGCGCAGGGTCAGGCACAGGGCAAGAACTCAGTGGTGGCTATGGACATTAAGATGAGGCTGAAGTGAGTGCCTCCCTATCAGCCTCAGAGAAAGGGCCTGTGTTGGCTGTCCGTGCTCCTAAGGAGAAAAGATGGGAACCGAGCCATGTGGGGCCCTCTCTCCCTGGGCAATCCCTCCCTCTAATACCCCTTTCCTCCAGCGACTAGACCTTAGGAACCGCTCCCTCTAAGGCTGGAGGAGATATATTAAGGCTTCAAGACTCCCCAGGAAGCGGACAAGCTCCACCTGTGGGTCCTGGCATGAGACGCTGTCATCCTCACCCCTGACCTCTGTTCCCCACCCTCTGCAGCATCCAGGAGGATTACAAGTACATCCAGTGTGGTGTGCCCCCCCAGCAGTCCTCAGTGACCACCATGGTCAAATCCTACCACTGGAGGGTCACCCATGCCCCACACCCCAAAGACATTATTTGGTAAGCTCCCTCTGCCCCTCCCCTCTCCTTTGAGTTCCTCTGAAACTTAAAAAGGCCACAGGGACTGGGGCCTATTCTCTCACTTCCACTGCCCCGTTGCCCGCATCCAGGTCCCCTGGGCTGGGCCATGTCCTCTCCTGGGCACCATGGCCTCTGCCCACCCTCAAACCCACCCCATCACAAGCATGGAAGGCACGCACACCTTGGGTAAAGGTTTTTCCTGCAGGAAGATTCCGTTTTTGGCTCACCTACAGGATATACTCAGAGCCCGTACAAATCGTGACCGAGGGGAAGACCAGGGCCTATTTCATGCGGGTCTGGGCCCGCGGGGCTGAATCAGACCCTGGCAGCCTGCAGGAAACAGCGTGTGGGCTCCAAGGGCTGGGGCCCGGGGTACTGAGTGCGTCTCCCTCCGTCCTCCCTCCCCAGGAAACACCTGTCCATCCGTCGTTTCCACTGGTGGGCCCGCTTCATCGCGATCAACACCTTCCTCTTCTTCCTTTTCTTCTTCCTCACCACACCCGCCATCATCATCAGCACTATCGACATGTACAACGTCACCCGCCCCATCGAGAACCTGCAGGTGCTGCTCTGCTCAGGCCAGGCGTGGGGGTCCCAAGGGAAACGGAGGAAGAACTCAGGCGAGGAAGGGATGGGGGACCACTGGGACGCAGCTCCAGAGCCCGTGGGCCACCAGCATTGGGAGGTGGCCGGGGGGTAAACGGTGGCACGGAGCTTCCTGTCCTAAAGAGGATGAGTGCGCAGGTTGTTGCCCATTTGGGGCCTGGGGCTGGAGCGGAAGGAGAGTGGGGGAGCTGTGGGCAGGTGCTCGGGTAAGTCTGGGGTCTGGGTGGTTCAGTCAAGCATGGGTTCAGAGGGCTTCTTTAGATCGGGTCACCCCAGGCCAGCAAGAGGTACAAAGGTGCAGTAGAGGATGTGGCAAGTGTGACAGCTCTGCTCTCCCCAGGTCCCTTAGAGCGGGGGCCCCTAGTTTGAGGGCTAGGCTTAAGGGTGGGGAAGAGGGACGTAAGTGCCAATACAGGCCAGGGAGAGAAGCAGGACCTCCACTTCCCTCACTTCCAGACACACCCACTCTGGGCTGGGAGTCCTGGCCCTGCAGGGACCATCCCCACATTAGGACAATGCTCCCTACTGACTGGGGAGCTCACAGGAACTGAACTGGCCCATTTACAAGTTCTGTAGCCTCAAAGCTGTTATAAGGGCCTGGAAGGCCTGTCCTTCCATATTATTCCCCCACCCTATTCCAGCAGTGTGCACACGCACATGCATACACAAGCACATGCGCACGCACACATGCACACATGCACACATGCACACATGCACACAGAGAATCAAGCCACATCACTTCTGCTTCCTCTTGCCTTCCTTTGTCAGGAGCACCACAGCTCTTCTGGGGGTGGGCTTCCTTTATACCCCGGCCCCTCCACCATTTCCCAGACAATATAAGATTAAAGATAGTGCCTTCTCTCTGTGGTATGGGTCACAAGTGACAGCAGTGGCTCTGGCCTTACAGCAAAGTCACAGGGGAAGTCCCAAATGCCACTCCAGTGGCCTCAGTATGGAAGGCCTCTGCCCCTAAGCTGGAGGAGAAGAAGCCAGGGAGTAGAAGAAGGCAGGGGCAGCCCAGAGGGGGAAGGACTCTTCTTCACCGATGTGTTTCCTCCCTCCTCCGCTCCACCCGTGCAGAGCCCAGTCGTGACCCAGTTCTTCCCCTCCCTGTTGCTCTGGGCCTTCACAGTGATAATGCCTCTGATTGTCTACCTCTCCGCCTTCCTCGAGGCCCACTGGACCAGGTGAGCTGCGGGTTCCTCTCCTAGCCCTAGCCCCTTTCCTGTCCCCACCAGCCTGGTGCCCAGGCCTCCCATCTGGCCTAAGGAATGGAATTGATATGGATGGCTTTAATACCAAGACTAACAGATATTTTTTCTTTGGAAAGAGGGGACTGAGTTGTATCTGGGAATCTGGCCTCCTGGATGCTGAGATAGGGCAACCATATAGAGGATGTGGACACCAAGCCTTCCCTGGGCTGCCCCCTCAGATGCTGCCACCCTCTTCTCCCTCCTCCCCTTCCTGTGCCCAAGGCAGACACCGTTAGTTAATCATGCTTTCCTTTCCTGCTGCTCCCAGCTGTGGCACTGCTCACGGCGTTCCCCTGAGATGGTATTGGTATGCACTAATAAACAGTGTTTAGTGAAAGGTGCTGTCTCCCTCTTTCTCTTCATTCTGTAGGTAAGCCTTTGGTTCTTAACACGCCTCTCTTTGTTTCTTTCTAGATCAAGTCAGAATCTGATCATAGTTCACAAGTGCTACATCTTTCTTGTGTTCATGGTGGTCATTCTGCCATCTATGGGACTGACCAGGTACCTCACCTCCGATTACCCCTCTTCCCCTAGCCAGGCTCACCCTAGAGTTGGAACCTCCTCTTTCAGGCACTGTAAGCCTACTGCAAGTCTGTTTCTCAAGTAACAGTCCAGGGCCTGCGCCAAGCATGAGCCAAGTATCATGCAAGTTCTAAGGTGTCGGCCATGAGCCCGCCCTCAAAGAGTTTATCATCCAGCTGGGGAGACACATCATGTCTACCAGCTAACTAACTGCCAAGGTGGGGGAAACACAGCCAACATGCAGTAGAAATTCAGGAGAAAGAGAGAAATGGCAGGCGAAGGTTTGCTGAAGGAGGCGGCCTTGAGCTGAAAGACCAAAGGGTTAGGGGCAGGGGTGGCCCAGCATTAAGAAGGAAGACAGGCCATGTAGACTTGCTGGCTGGACTATTAAGATGCAGTAGTCTTTGGGGACCAGGCAAGGGAAGACAGAAGAAGGATAGCAGGTCCTGGAATTGAACCCCAGGCTCTAGCTCATAAATTCATTAACTGAAGGGCTGCTTTGTTTCTGCCCCTAGTTTGGATGTCTTTTTCCGCTGGCTCTTTGACATCTACTATCTGGACCAGGCGTCCATCAGATTTGAGTGAGTACTAGAGTACAGGTTCTAGGGGTACCCCCAGGTCACACTGGGGCTTCTGCGGGATCACACTAGGTAGATATGTGTATCCTTTTATTTGTTCCCAAAGGTAGAGATGAATGCATGCAAACACTCCTTAGGCAGCTTCTTAACCTTTCCTGTGCCACGGGGCCCTTTGGCAATCTGACAAAGTGCAGGGAACCCCTTCTCTGAATGAAGCTTTAAAAGTAATTGTAGATTCACAGACAATTACCAAAAATTGTCCTGTGTACCCTTCACCCAGTTTCCCCCAATGGTAACATCTTGTGTAACTATAGTACAATATCACAACCAGAAAACTGACATTGATGGAGTCCACAGAGCTTATTCAGATATATAGTTATCAAAATATTTAAAAAATTAAACTTGTAACATAATCTTTACTATTACACATTTAATACTATTACACATACAGTAACAGGACAATGCATTTTAAATGTAGGTAAGCTAAAATTACATTTTATTGTTTTAAATGCATCAGTGTGAAAGCTAAAGTTGTTTAGTGGGAAGAATATTAAATTGGGGTTAGGGGAGATCTTTGACAAAGCACATGACGTTGTATTGGACACCCGGCCAATTCTGGGGTTTTTTTGTTTGTTGTTAGGCCACAAATGTTGAAAACCCCAGTGTTCAAAGATGTAATGTTGCAAATGACATGCAAGCTTTCCTAGCTTGCTTCCTAGGGCAAGGGCCAGAATTCTCCAAAGTTTCTGCAGTTAAACTATAATTGTAATCAGTTGGGGTTTTTTTTTACAAGATGAACCAGTTCATCTTCAGCTAGGTCAGTATCTTCAATGCAGTTTAAATATGAGAAAGAAAAGAGCTGTGAGTCCATGACTCAATTTTGATGCCAAGAAAGAATAGGTTTTGAAGGAGTTCTCAAATATGCCTGGGAGCTCACAGATTTCTCTTTTCAATGAAGTTGACAGAATTGTGTAGGTGGGGACGCTGGGAAACAACAGAAATACCTGGGTCACCAATGTGAGAACACGCAGCTTGGCCATTCATTCAAGTGGCTGAAGGAGTCCTAGTTGAAGTTGGCCAGCTATGTCAAATACAGGTCTGCAGGCAGTAGAATTTCAATCATGTAAATTTAGCATGTCTAATTTAGCAGCATGTCTAATAACTACCCTCATTTTGAAGTGATGATGAGTGCAAACGGTGTTGTGAAATATCAGCAACAACTGCAGCATTATGTGAAAATGTCTGATTTCATTGGTGACAGACTCACTGACATGGCTGTGATTTGTTGCCCACGTTCTTAGTTGAAGGCCATGCTAAATTGTATTTAGAAGTTAGTGAAAATAAAGATGTCATTTCTCCCCATTCAAGGTCAGTGACCCCCAAAGCCCTGCTCATGGGCTCTCCAGGTTCTATGGATCCAGGTCAAGCACTCCTGCTTTCGATAAGGCAGACCCTCTATCTCCAGCACATCCATGCTTTATGCAGACCATCCCTGCTCAAAAGCGCCGTCCCAACTTCCTTTGGGCTGGGCACACATATATATGAAGCTCATCCCCATCTCTACCTCTGCCCCTCATGCCTACTCCCTTGGCTCTTTTCCCCTCTCTCTTCCCTCCTCCCTCCTGACATCTCTCCCTTTCTTTCTCCCATGGCTTCTGCTGCTGTCTTCCACTTTCCCCCATGCCCAGGTGTGTGTTCCTGCCAGACAATGGTGCCTTCTTTGTCAACTACGTGATCACGGCAGCTTTGCTTGGCACAGGCATGGAGCTGTTGCGCCTGGGATCATTATTCCTGTACACCACCCGCCTCTTCTTCTCCAGATCAGAGCCAGACAGAGTCCACATCAGAAAGGTATGTGCCAGGCCCTTCCCTGAGCACAGCTCTTGGGGTTCCCCTTGTGAGGGTGTCAGGAAGGGGGCCTGTGGTGGGAGGCGTAGTGTGGTGGGGTGAGTCCTTCTTGGACCCAGGATTGGAAGGACCAGCTTCCAGGGGACAGATAAGGAGGCACAGAAGCAGCCGAGCCAAGGGGACCAGGCCACCTCAGGGTGACCTCTGCCTTCTGCCCCAGAACCAGGCCATTGACTTTCAGTATGGGCGAGAGTACGCATGGATGTTGAATGTCTTCAGCGTGGTGATGGCGTACAGTGTCACCTGCCCTATCATTGTCCCTTTTGGTGAGTCCTCTCTAAGGCACCCCAGGGATGCACACCTCAGGCTGGGAGGAGGACTTGAGCCGCACAATGTCAGGCCACATCCTGGAGCATGAGGAGACCTGGAACAGACTGCCAGCAAGGCGGGGAGATGCCAGGGCCAGGGCCAAGTTTATGTAGGATGTTTGTTGAGTGAACGACTCTTCACCAAACTCTTCACCAATCTGGGGGGGTGGTCAAGGGAAGCTGCTGGTCCTCATGGGGCTCCCACAGCTCGTCCCTGGGCCCTTGCTGCTCTCACAGACCTGAATCTGGCTTCTCAGGCCTGTGGGGGCCTTGGGACAGCACAGATTCTGATCGTGCAGGCAGCCACTGAGCGTGCCTCCATCTTCCGGGCCCCCAGGGCTGCTCTACCTGTGCATGAAGCACGTCACGGACCGCTATAACATGTACTACTCCTACACGCCCACCAAACTCAACGAGCAGATCCACATGGCTGCTGTCTACCAGGCCATCTTCGCACCACTCCTGGGGCTGTTCTGGATGCTCTTCTTCTCCATCCTACGGTTAGGTGGGTAGCGAGCCTGCCTGGCCATCCCATCTCCACCTGCTCCCCACTGCTCCTCAGCAACAACTCTTAGATCGGAAAAAGCCCAGGAGGAACAAGGTGTTGTTCATGGAGCCTGGCCCAGCCCAGCGGCTTCTCTAGGCCTAAAGGACCCAGTCCTGGCAGACCTTTGAAGCTAAGGGCAAAAGGGGTGGCTTGGACCAAGATGGGCCAAATCATACACATTTTGGTATACAGCCCTCAGGGCAAGAAACATCATATTCCTTCTGATTCCAGGCTGGCAGGAAATGAAATATTAGCCATCAGGCTCAATTCCCATGGCATTCCCTCTGGGATCATATAAGATGCCTGGTCTATGGGTTACCAGAAACCTGGAGGAGGATTCAGAGTCAGCCCTGGCGGCCAACTTTGGCCCTAATCTTGATGACATAAACTTTCTGTCCCTGTCCCCATGGGCCACAGACTGGGGAAGGGAAAGTCTGCATTTTCCTACTCCCCCATCACAAGGACATCTGTGGTGTTTATGGGAATTACCCATTTGGTGTCCCCCTATTTCTTATCTCCCTAGATTTCATTTTTTATAATGCATTTTTCTAAGTATAAAGGACTACATATTTATTGTTTCTATTTCAAAGATAGAAAAAATAGAAAGATCAAAATTTGGATGACCTGTAAATCTTACCCAGAGCCTGATGTCTGTCCCTCCCAGACCTCATTCTGTGCATACTTTTTAGAGAAGGGGGCAGAACAGGAGGGATTTTATTGGTTAGTTGTTACTTTTCAAAATTGTGATAATCATTTTATAACATTCAATCCTCTATCCTGAGTTTCTTCACTGAACATTCTGTCCTAAGAAATTTCCTGTGTTATTAAGATACTGTTTGAGCATAAGCCTTTTAATGGCTGCATTAAATTCTTTTAGGTTGTCAGTTCTCCACTGTTGGAAGCTGAGGTTATTTACCATTTTTTGCCATTATATAAACACAACAATGAGCATCATTATGCAGTAAGCTCTGACTGTAAAAACTGGTTTTCATCTTCACCTAGTCAGAAAACTGCTGCCATAAAAAGTTACCAAATAGCCCCAAGCAAGATATAAATGACTTCTAAATTCTGGATTGCTTTTTAATGCCACTAGCACATTAACTGAGCATATTCACTTCAAAAGGGCTTGCAAGGAAAGGTGTGGGTCAGAGATTATATTTTGGGACATTGGCATAAAGGAAAAGACACATCCCAGGGATGGTGATGAGGGGCGTAACATAATGGGCACATTCAGGGCATGTGTGATGGGCATTCAAGTGGGTATGTAAATCAATTACATATTTTTCATGAAATCAACAAGGTGCTACATTTCAAACTAGTCAAAAAGCACCAAGGGATGATGGAACTGTGTTGGTTCATCGATCCCAGGTGTTAGGAAGAGAATTGGGCAGGGCTTGAAGCCCCTGCTGACGTGCTGAGCAGGTCCCTGGGGATCTGTCAGTCCTCGTGGCATCTCAGTGGGCAGGCTCCTGCACAAAGCTCCAGGCCTCAAGCGTCAAGCCCCACAGACTTTTCTTTTCCTTGGCAGGTTCGCTGCACGCCATCACCTTCTTTTCCCTTTCCACCCTTATCGTTTCCATTATAATCGCCTTCCTTGGCACTTTTCTGGGGAAGCTTCGGAGGGTGTCTGACTATGAGGTGAGTTGAGAGCCACGTTTCCCCCACTGGCTCCCCCTGACCCCTGGGGGACACAGCTCTAGCATACCCTCCTGACCTGGGTACCCAGAACACCACAAAGATGAAAGTTCTTGCCTTTCTCTCTGATTAGGGGGTGTGCAAGCTCAATGTGTGTATATATATGTGTGTGTGCATGCCTATATGCCCTGGCATTGGCCCCCTCCTGGGGTGGGAAAATTTAGGAGACAGCTGTCCTCTCCTCCTCTCCCCTCTCACACCTCCTCCAAACAGCAGGCTCCCACCCATCCCCTCCTACACTGTGAGCCTGTCCAGCCACTGAGCATGAGCACCATTCAAGGGCTGCAGGGCTGAGAGACAGGATGAGTGAAGGACGGCAGGGTGGGGTGGTAAAGGATGATGACCTAGGGAAGGGGGGGATAGTCATCCTCTCAGTTTAAAATCCCAGGATATTAAATTTGGAGGGGAAGCCTGGCTGGCTGGGCCCTGTGACTCCTCTGGGTCATTACCTGTGGAGCCCAGGCTAATCATTTGAGAAGGGAGCCAATCCGTGCCTTCTGAGAGCTGTGCCTTGTGCTCTTGGTTTAGAACTCGTTCCAGATAGAGGGGAGACCCCCCAGAGCAGGTGTCTGCACATGCATGTTAGAGTGATTTCCAGGGGGCTAAAGCATTGTTTTTCTAGTTTTCATGGTTATATGTGTTTTTCTATTGGTTCACATTTCTCTCTCTTTCTGCTTTTGGCAACAGACACAGGTTTTCTGTTTATAATAGTGAGTTACTTCCTTTTTAAATGAATTTATATGAAGAAAAGAAAGTAAGCTGATTTAAAGCACTGACATGCTGCTGGGTCAGAGAGGGGAGCTTCTTGGAAAAGGATCCTCTTGCTTCTAATAGCCCCATATCTGGAGCCCTGGGCACAGGCCCCTGCTGCCCTCTCTGCTGGGCCCCCCTCCTCCGTGCCCTGGCCCTTGTGCCAGGCTAGTGAAGGACCAGAGTGAACGACCCCTCTGGTTCTGTCTTCCTAATATAACAATGCCATATGATCTGGTTGCCCAAATAGCCTCTCAGGAGAAGGAAGGTGGCAGGGGACCTAGACCACATTGGTTTAGGACTCGTTCCAGATGGAGAGGGGAAATCTTGGGAAGAAAGAAGAGAGAGTTCAAGTCAAGGCTTTTCCTAGAGTCAAACATGCTCATCTTTGAACTCCAATCCCAGCATTGCTTACTTCCCTCCATAATTGTCCTTGAGAATGGAACATTCTGGAAGGATCTCCCTACCATCTCAGTCCTCTCTTTGTCTCCCTGGGCTTTAGCCCTGCTGGCTGGGCTGCAGGTCTGGGAAAGTGGAAGATGAGTTGAGTCCAAGGGGAGCAGGAGGCCCGGGTGCAGGGTGCACACACCTCTGGATGCAGGGAGGGAGGAGGCAAAGGGCGGATACCCCCATTCGGTGACCCTCCGCACCTCTCCCCACTGCTGCAGCCCGAGGAGGAGATGGAGACGGTGTTTGACATGGAGCCAAGCAGCACCTCCTCCACGCCCACCTCACTTGTGAGTTGAGCTTTCGCCCTGGGGACACAGTTCAGGAGGGGTACCAAAGGGAGGGCTGCGCCAGCCCTGGCGCTGGGGGTGGCCGGGCTCCCCCCTCTGATGCGGCAGGACTCGGCCCAGTCAGCTTGCTGCCGTGGCCCTGGCTGAAGAGCTGGGACGAGAGAAGATCCAGGAACTACTGGGCATTCCCTAGAAGGATCTCAGAGAGGACGCAAGAGGTCAGGGTGCACCTGGCCACAGCAAGCTCAGTCATGTAGACGCAGGGACGTGGGGCTCAGCCTCAGGACTGAAGGCTTCCTCCCAGGGCACAGGCGCACACAGAGCTGCAGGCAGCTATTGGAGCTCTGCGCTGAATCGTAAGGCAGGGGCGGTGCCAGATGCGTGAGCCCCCCAGCATGTGGAGAGACAAGGTCGTGCTCGGAGGGCAGGGGTCTGGCACTGGCTGCCACACCTCTTTGTGGCTCAGCCTGGAGGGCTGTGAGCACTCTCCTGTATCTTGACACAAGGGTGGCTGCAGGGCCATGGAGGCATGCACTGAGCTGGGCACCAGGTCAGCCTGTGCCCCAGTGCCAGCCAGGGTGCCTTAGAGGAGCATTGAAGAAGGGCAGCAGCCAGCCTGGGCACTCAGGGAAGGCTTCCCAAAGGAGGAACCATCTAACCTGACTTCAGGAGTGGGAGTAGGGGTTGCCAGGTGGAATGGATCTGGGGAAAGAGCATTCAAGGAAGAGGATCAGCCTATGCAAAGGCCAGAAGAGAAAATCTGGAGCACTTGAGGAACTGAAGACTCTTTCAGCCTGGCAGAAATGCAAAGTGGGTGGTGGGAGAGGAGGCTCTTTAGTAGTGGCAGAATTGGGTAAAAGTGCTCAGAAACAGCAGTGGTGTGCACAGAACTACAGGTCTGCCTCACTTTGGAATAAAACCCTACATGGAGGGACAAATCACCTCTGGGAGGTGGCAGGAGAGAAGGCGCTTTGGTACTGGAGGACCACAAAGGTTTCAAAGCATAAAGTCTCTCCTCCTGTAGCATCTCCCCTGGGGCCCTTCCAAGACGACCCCTCTGGAATATTCTTAACTGTTGGTTATTCAGATCTTCTTAGGAACCTGACGCTTCATCATTATCACTTTTAGTCTTTATGATAAACCCATACAGTAGTGATTTTTATCCTCATTTTATGAAGGGAGAAACTGAGGCTCAAAAAGGTCAATTAATTTAGACCCCAGGCCACTACTAAGCAAGGAAGTAGCAGAGCAAAGTTTGAACCTGGTCTGTCTGATGCAAAGCCTGAACTTAAAAAAAAGAAATACTGGAATTGATTTTTTAAATCTTTCATTATTACAACAGTGGTATATGAACATGGTAGATAATTATAGGGAAAAAAACATAAGCACAAATAAGGAAATAAAAAGTATATATTCCCACCCATCACCCAGTGATTATCACTGATACCTTAGTGTGTCTTCTTCCAGGTATATACATAATTTTTGCTAAAATAAAATAATACATACTGTTTTGTAACCTGCATTTTTAATTAAGAATCCCCATCTTTTCATATATATGAATTTTTACCTCTTTGAATACCCAGTCCATTCTGCCCTAAGTATTCCAGAAATATCCTTTATCGCTTGTCCAAACCAAAATCCAATCCAGTCTCTGTGCTAGATTAAATTAGCATTGTGCACATTCCTTTTAATTTAGCATGGTCCCTTTTTTATGACTTGTGGGGAAGACCAAGCCAAGAGTCCCATCTTCTAGACTTTTCTGGCTCTTTCTTCATGATGTCTTACAGCAGGTTCCACTATCTCCTGTATTTCCTGAAAACTAGTTTAATCCAAAGGTTTGATAGATTCAAGTTCAACACTAGAGGCTAGAATACACTACAGGTAGCACCATGCATCACATCAGGAGATAATATCCCATTTAGTCCCATTAATGATGCTAAAGTCACTCCCTGATTCCGGGGCTCTCTTCCAGTGTTGTTACCATTTTTACCCTTATGACCAAAAGGTGATCTGGGGGATTTACTTCGGTGTTATGCAAATATCTAAATTCTTCTGTAGGAAAGATGTTCCCTCATTAATTACGGCTGTGTGATTTCACTGAAATGAATTCCTGCAGGAAAGGTTTAATTCTATCCCATAATTATCTATTTTCAAAATAAGGAGTTGGTTTAAAAGCCACTTCAGAGGATGCCCAGCAGCATCCCTAGTACTTTCTGGGTTTTTCTATTCTGCGCCCCTCCCAAGCATTCCTGGGAACCTTCCTGGATTTGACAGGTCACATGACCAAGACTTTAGCGACCAGTCTTGGGTTTCAAATCCTGATTCACAGGCCAACCAATGACACTGGAGGAGCTGTGGGTGTGCCTCTAAGGTTGTATTAGAAAGTACACTAGCTCAGGACTGGGGTCTCTCCAGACCCCAGCATAAGGGGATCCTCATCTCACCTCCCCCTGGGTTCAGCCTGACTTGGAACCAAGAATGAATGGAGCATGCATTGAAGGAACAGTGGGCTAGGAGTTAGGAGACCTTCACTCACTAGCCCTGAGAGCTTGTAGATGCTCATTAAATGATCATGAGCAACTGGGTGGGTGGGATGGCCAGGACTCAGCTGGTGGGGAGAAGGAAATATCCGTGGCTTGGAGAGGCAGAGGCTCTGGAGGAAGGACAAGAGGGGGAAGGGTGTGTTCAGGGCCTCGCCCCAGATGCGACCTCATCCCCATCTCCCCTCCCTGTCCTGAGCAGCTGTACGTGGCCACTGTGCTGCAGGAGCCAGAGATGAACCTGACACCAGCCTCCTCCCCTGCCCGGCACACCTACGGCACCATGAACAGAGAGCTGGAAGAAGGAGAAGAGGAGAGCGGTGCGAGGGGCTTTGAGAGCGAGCTGGACTCAGCCCAGTTCCAGGAAGGGCTGGAACTGGAGGGCCAGAGCCAGTACCACTGACCAGCGCCCAAGGCCTCCACCCGGTGACTCTGGCCGGGAGTGGCAGCCAGAGGAGGCCCCCGCAGGGGGAAGAGGAGGGCGGCCCAAATATCCTGCAGACAGTGGGGAGGCCCCAAGGGAGACATCTGCCACCCTGGCTATCAACTGCACGGAGACCCCGACCTGCTGATCCACTAGAGCAGGAGGTGCCGGGCAGTACAGAGGCACCCGGCATGGGATGGAGGATGTAACCAAGCACCATGTCTTGGGAGAGGTGGCTGATGCCCTGGGCACAGATACCGAAGGCTGGGGGACCCTTCTGGGGTCAGGATGGAGAAGGTGTGTGTAAAGGAAGGGACAGAAGCCCACCAAAGACTGTCTGGGGTCTTTGCCACCCTTCCACAGCTGCCCTGCCAAGGACCTGCCACTCCCCTGCCCCACCCCACCCCTCCCCTGCAGTCTGAGGAAGCAAAGGTATGTGAGCTGGGCCTCGTGGACAAGACGTGACCACCTCATCTGGTTTCCCTGCATGGGGATCTAGAAAGGGGAAGTTCCTGCTCTCACCGGAGCCAGGGGCAGCTGAGACCAGAGACCTGAGAGGAGGTGGCTGAGTCCCTTCCTGTTGCTCTGCGCCTTGTCTGATGTCCCCAGGAGCAGCAGGGTGGAGACCCTTCTCCTTCCTATTATTGCAAGGGTAGCTCGGGCATGGCACTCGGGGCTTATTAAATGGGACCTGTGTGCATTTTGATGAAGGTGACCTTGGCTGGTTACTGTAAGGTGGGAGGGGCAAGGGCAGAATTCATGGAGGGAGTTCTTCTCCCAAAATGCTAGGTGATGGGAAACCATATACACCTCTCCAAGCACCAGGCCTAATGTAAAGATCCCCAAGGTCAAGGTGTGGCCACTGAGAGCTGCTCCTGCCTCATACCCACTGAGGGTCTGGGGCCTCAGCACGGCCAAGGTGAGTGGTAGCTCAGTGTAAGAAGCCCATGCTTCAAACTGAAGGCACTGGCCATTCCTTCACCTCCAAGTCGGACCCATCCTGTCCTCTCAGGGCCACCCTGAACCCTGGACTAAAGACCACTCAAGTGGCCTCCAGGGTGGTCCTGGCTCAGACACTGTGTTGCCTTGCCGGTGAATGGGGGTAGGGACTGTCCTCCACAGAGAGGTCCTTTCTAGTGGAGAAAGGCTGCCTCCAGGGGCTGCTACCATCCCACACCTGGAAGAGCCAAATCTTGAGCAGGTACAATGCTGGTGACACCCAGCACCTTTGCCAAAGGCAGGCGGGTGCATGCCTCTGGGCATCGGCCACATCAGAACCACCTGGGAGGCCAGCAGGGGAGGACATGGAGAAGGGCTGGCTGGGGCCTCAGTGGACAAGAATGAGCCAATCAGGTGGGGTCTGTGTGCTCTCTCCTGAGCTCCCGTCCAGCAGAGTGGTCGGGGCCCCCACAGGGACCTCTGGCTGCCATGGGGAGGCGGCCGGCTCCAGGCATTGCCCAACCCCCAGACTGTGTACCTGGCATGGGGGGAGTCCTGCCGGAAGCCAGCCTGTGGGTGCTCCGTCACTGGGCACCCCTTGCTGGCACCTGTCCGCAGGCTCCGCAGCCCCTACTGGGCTGCTCTGCTGCTCCCACTGCTCTCCCTCCTCGCTACTCCCCCTGCCCACCAGGCAGACTTCAGAAGCTGCATGTGGATAGGATCCCAGCAGATTACATGGCAGCATGGCTGGGGGGCCTCGCCCTCTGAATTTGGGTAAAGTGCAGTCTGGTTCTGAAAAAAAGTAGTGCAAATGTTGGGAAAGTTCCAGAGTCCATTCACTTCGCTACTCTTCCTGGAGACCCAGGACAACTGGCAAGGCCCCCCCCACCCCCAACAGCCGCTTGACCCCCCAGTCATGTGTGCTGGGCATGAACATGCTTATGCTCCTCTCCAGGCAGCTGCCCTCCAGCCTGCTCTCCACACCTCCATCTACCACCATCCCACCCTACCATCAGCTCCTGCCAGCCACCCCTCCCCTACCTGTCCCCTGAAGCACCCCCTCTCAGACTTGGTTCTTTCTGGAGGGAGCTGCCTCAAGGGGTAACCTCGTATTGCCTAGGGCCTCCAGGAGGTGCCCCACTGGTCCTGGAGCAGCTCCATGCCTGCCTGCCTCTCCCTCAGATGCTTCTGTCAAAGTGCCTATCAGCAGCATTACATCCTTTGGGGACTCCAGTGGGGCGTGTGGACTTCCCCTGGCTATGACCACTAAAGGAATGTGCCAGAATGCCGAACCTTCTTGTTATTAATGCTGTGACAGTGCCTTGAATAAACAAGTCCTCCCAACTTCTGCGGCTTGTGCCTCTGGACCAGCCCAGCAGGACCTTCCTTGTACCTGTGAAAAGCCAGAGCTGCTAAGGAGTGAAGCTCCCTGAGGCCTCCAGGCTGGATGGAGCACTGCACCTTGCTTCATGGCTTTAGGCACTGGGGCCAGAGCTGCCCCTTCTGGGATCCCCTGACCCCTGAGGCCTTCCCTGTCCCCATGTTCACACAGGAAGGCCTGGCAAGTGCTGCCTGGTCTCCTGGAGAGACAGGAAGTGGATCTGTCATTTCTGCTGTGGATGCTCTGAGAGCCAGACCCCTGAGCAGGAAGGGAGAACATTCTGGTCTGTGAGCTACCCAGGACGCCACTGGTGCAGGCCCCCTGGGCAGCAGAAGCCTCAGGGTGAGTGCTGGGTCCGACTGCTGTTGGCCAGACTCGCTGCTGGACTGGAAAAGACAAAGACGTCAGGTGGAAATGCCCCCAGAAGAGGTGGCATACAGGGCTCGGGTCTGTACAAGCCTCAGCCAGCAACATGAAAGCAGGGGAGGCTGAGGAGAGATTGGGCATCAGGGAGGTATGTGGGGCTGCCAGGTGAGGCCTGCAGAGGGTAAGAAACATCCTCTACCAAAGGCTAGTTGTGCCTGTCTTGCACCACGGCGAGGAAGAGAAAACCTCCGTGACCTGGAGGATGTGTGTCCCAGCCCAGGAGACCAGGCATCTGGCCTGCCTCTGGCCAGCTGGTCACGGGGCTGGCCACTTCACGCAGAAAGTAAGGGGCAGGAGGACATGAGCTGGCCACCCTGCCCTATTACTGAGTAGGGCAGATTGAGCCGGCAACCGCGTTATGGAGGAAGGCTTCCTCCCACGCTGGTTCCCCGTGGGGACAGAGAACAATCTTAGGGGCAGACTGCCCAAGGGCTGCTTCCCAGACTCCTTGCGGGACACTGTCCTCAAGCTGTCATAGTCCATCGGTTCAGAGACCCCCATGACATGAACCCGGGCATGGGGGCAGGGCCCATCCCCCTGAGCCTTCCCCCCTCAAAGCAGTTACCTTCCAAGTTGAATCCCATGAAATCCACAAGGGCTGCTTGAGAGAGAGAGAGAAATGTGAAGACCACGCTGACTGGGTGGCTACTGGGGCTGTGACTTGCTGCCTGGGAGCAGGGTGGGCTGGTGGCTGCTTTAGGGACAGGGGCCTTTTCCAAGGATCTACAAACCCCTGCCATAAGAGTTGCCCCTCAGGATGTCCCCCTGGGGGCCAGCAGCTAGGGTGCCCAGATCACAGGCCCTGGGCCATTTCTTAGCTCAGCAGACCTTTCCAGGAACTTTTGCTCAGACACAGACAGACATAGAGAAGCTGAAAGGGTGGGCCGTAGCCCCACACATGTGAAGTCTTGAAGGAAGGACGGGGTCGGTCAATCCTCTCTGTACCCAGCAGACTAGGACGACTGGAAAGCGGAGGGTTTGTATACCCGGGCTCAGAGTCTCCTAGGAGATTTTGAACAATCCCAATGTCTAGGCCCCATCCCTGAACAGAGTATCTGCGGTGGGGCCCAGGCACACCTATTTTACACAGTCCCCCAGGCAACTCTGGTGTCAGGGAGGGTTGAGCAGGTGAGTCGGTGTGAGGAAGCAGTCCCAGCCTCATGCTCCTGGGTTGCAGAAAGCAGCTGGCCCCAGAGCCTCACGCTGCCTGCCCCTTGGAGTGTGTGGCCGGCAGCCGGGAAATAATTACAAACCACAGGCTGGGAAACCTCTCCTTGTGCTTCACATTGCTTCCCCAGGGAGTTCAGATATCAGGTGCCAGTAGGTAATCAACAGGTCCAAACACTTGCCTCCCTGCTTATAAGGGGTCAATACTTCGCACCACACAACCTGTATTATAATCATCTCGTTTTGCATTAGTGCTACGGTCTGGGCTGGAGAGACACACACCAGGCCTCAAGGCCACTTCCCACCACCACATCTGCTTCAGCAAGGGCTTGAAGAATCACCTCTCTCCTCTAAACGCACAGCCCCAAATGGCTTTCATGTCAGCTTTCCATTTGGAATGCGATACATTATAAGTGCAATAAGCAAATGTGCCTAGTGGACACCAGGAAGAGACAAGTGCTCTGAAGAAAAAATGCAGCTGGATAAGGGGGGAGAATGAGCAACTGGAGATGGGAAGGTTCAGACAAGCTCTTTGGGTGTGAGTGTGGAGGGGCTGCCTTATGGGGGCACTCGGCAGATGTGGAGGGCCTGAGGGTCAGGGCCCGAGGGGAGGCTGGGGTGTCTGGAGCAGAGTGAGGCCAGGTCTTTGAGGGCAACAGGGCCTGTGGGGCACAGTCAGGGCTCTGAATTTTAGTTGAGTGATACGGGAAGCTTCTGGAGGATTCAGAGCAGCAGAACATCATCTCCTGAGGTTTGGAAGCCCCGAGGTGGGGACAAGGTAGAAGCAGAAAACCCTTTAGGGCTCTGCTGGAGGACCCGGGATAGAGAGCAGGGTGGCTCAGACAAGGTCAAGGCAGTGATTGAGAGGTAGAGACATTCAGAATAGGGTCCAAGGAGTCACAGGTGGATTAGATGCGGGGTCTGAGATCAAGGAAGCAAGGACGATTCCCAGGCCTGCGGCCTGAACAGCAGGGTAAGGTGGTTTACTGAGGCAGAGGACGCTGGAAGGAGCAGGTTGACAGAAAACACCGAGATCTTTTCTGGTCATGTTTTATTTGCACACAGGAGTCTGGAGTAGGGGAGAGTGAGGCTGGAGATGCCCACTTCAGAGTCATTGGCATCTGGATGGTGTTTAAAGCCTGGGCCTAGCTGAGACTTACAGGGGAGAAAGTGCAGGTAAGAGGAGGTCAGTAGGAGATGGGGAGGAGAATTCGCGAGGGAGCCTGAGAAGGAACAGCAGTGGGGAAGGAGGAAAACCAGGAGAGAAGCCAAGGGAAGAAAGGGACTCAAAAAGTAAGGAGGGAGCCCCCAGCTCTAACCACGTAAATATGGGCATAGAGGACATGAAAGCAGGGGAGGCTGAGGAGAGATTGGGCATCAGGGAGGTATGTGGGGCTGCCAGGTGAGGCCTGCAGAGGGTAAGAAACATCCTCTACCAAAGGCTAGTTGTGCCTGTCTTGCACCACGGCGAGGAAGAGAAAACCTCCGTGACCTGGAGGATGTGTGTCCCAGCCCAGGAGACCAGGCATCTGGCCTGCCTCTGGCCAGCTGGTCACGGGGCTGGCCACTTCACGCAGAAAGTAAGGGGCAGGAGGACATGAGCTGGCCACCCTGCCCTATTACTGAGTAGGGCAGATTGAGCCGGCAACCGCGTTATGGAGGAAGGCTTCCTCCCACGCTGGTTCCCCGTGGGGACAGAGAACAATCTTAGGGGCAGACTGCCCAAAGGCTGCTTCCCAGACTCCTTGCGGGACACTGTCCTCAAGCTGTCATAGTCCATCGGTTCAGAGACCCCCATGACATGAACCCGGGCATGGGGGCAGGGCCCATCCCCCTGAGCCTTCCCCCCTCAAAGCAGTTACCTTCCAAGTTGAATCCCATGAAATCCACAAGGGCTGCTTGAGAGAGAGAGAGAAATGTGAAGACCACGCTGACTGGGTGGCTACTGGGGCTGTGACTTGCTGCCTGGGAGCAGGGTGGGCTGGTGGCTGCTTTAGGGACAGGGGCCTTTTCCAAGGATCTACAAACCCCTGCCATAAGAGTTGCCCCTCAGGATGTCCCCCTGGGGGCCAGCAGCTAGGGTGCCCAGATCACAGGCCCTGGGCCATTCCTTAGCTCAGCAGACCTTTCCAGGAACTTTTGCTCAGACACAGACAGACATAGAGAAGCTGAAAGGGTGGGCCGTAGCCCCACACATGTGAAGTCTTGAAGGAAGGACGGGGTCGGTCAATCCTCTCTGTAACCAGCAGACAAGGACGACTGGAAAGCGGAGGGTTTGTATACCCGGGCTCAGAGTCTCCTAGGAGATTTTGAACAATCCCAATGTCTAGGCCCCATCCCTGAACAGAGTATCTGCGGTGGGGCCCAGGCACACCTATTTTACACAGTCCCCCAGGCAACTCTGGTGTCAGGGAGGGTTGAGCAGGTGAGTCGGTGTGAGGAAGCAGTCCCAGCCTCATGCTCCTGGGTTGCAGAAAGCAGCTGGCCCCAGAGCCTCACGCTGCCTGCCCCTTGGAGTGTGTGGCCGGCAGCCGGGAAATAATTACAAACCACAGGCTGGGAAACCTCTCCTTGTGCTTCACATTGCTTCCCCAGGGAGTTCAGATATCAGGTGCCAGTAGGTAATCAACAGGTCCAAACACTTGCCTCCCTGCTTATAAGGGGTCAATACTTCGCACCACACAACCTGTATTATAATCATCTCGTTTTGCATTAGTGCTACGGTCTGGGCTGGAGAGACACACACCAGGCCTCAAGGCCACTTCCCACCACCACATCTGCTTCAGCAAGGGCTTGAAGAATCACCTCTCTCCTCTAAACGCACAGCCCCAAATGGCTTTCATGTCAGCTTTCCATTTGGAATGCGATACATTATAAGTGCAATAAGCAAATGTGCCTAGTGGACACCAGGAAGAGACAAGTGCTCTGAAGAAAAAATGCAGCTGGATAAGGGGGGAGAATGAGCAACTGGAGATGGGAAGGTTCAGACAAGCTCTTTGGGCGTGAGTGTGGAGGGGCTGCCTTATGGGGGCACTCGGCAGATGTGGAGGGCCTGAGGGTCAGGGCCCGAGGGGAGGCTGGGGTGTCTGGAGCAGAGTGAGGCCAGGTCTTTGAGGGCAACAGGGCCTGTGGGGCACAGTCAGGGCTCTGAATTTTAGTTGAGTGATACGGGAAGCTTCTGGAGGATTCAGAGCAGCAGAACATCATCTCCTGAGGTTTGGAAGCCCCGAGGTGGGGACAAGGTAGAAGCAGAAAACCCTTTAGGGCTCTGCTGGAGGACCCGGGATAGAGAGCAGGGTGGCTCAGACAAGGTCAAGGCAGTGATTGAGAGGTAGAGACATTCAGAATAGGGTCCAAGGAGTCACAGGTGGATTAGATGCGGGGTCTGAGATCAAGGAAGCAAGGACGATTCCCAGGCCTGCGGCCTGAACAGCAGGGTAAGGTGGTTTACTGAGGCAGAGGACGCTGGAAGGAGCAGGTTGACAGAAAACACCGAGATCTTTTCTGGTCATGTTTTATTTGCACACAGGAGTCTGGAGTAGGGGAGAGTGAGGCTGGAGATGCCCACTTCAGAGTCATTGGCATCTGGATGGTGTTTAAAGCCTGGGCCTAGCTGAGACTTACAGGGGAGAAAGTGCAGGTAAGAGGAGGTCTGTAGGAGATGGGGAGGAGAATTCGCGAGGGAGCCTGAGAAGGAACAGCAGTGGGGAAGGAGGAAAACCAGGAGAGAAGCCAAGGGAAGAAAGGGACTCAAAAAGTAAGGAGGGAGCCCCCAGCTCTAACCACGTAAATATGGGCATAGAGGAGTGAGTTCAAGCCGTGTCAAAGAAGCATCAAACCCAAATGTTGAACATGCCATTAGACACACGACCTGGTTTCTCCCACAAAGACATGGGGACAAGGAAGAGGAGCTGGGAGAGGGAAAGGTTTAAGAGGCACAACCAGATACAGTGTGTGGCGGCCCTTGACAGCATCTTGAACTGAACAAACCAGCTGCAGAAAGACATCTTTGGGACATCAGGGAAACTTGCAAATGGACAGAGCATTGGGTGATATCGAGATACAGTTCATCTTGGTAGGTATGTTGATGGCATAGGTTAAGAAGTGAAAAAAGTATCAGCCTGAAGTTCACATGGAAAACTTAACAGGTGAAAGAACATGCGGTCTTAGGTCTGCTTTAAAACTCCTCAGAAAAATAAAAGGGCTGGGGAAATCTTGAGTTGCTCACCACTGATTCTGGGTGAAAGGTTCATGGACATTCACTAGGCTCTGATTTGTGTGTGTGTGAACATTTTTTCCATAATAAAAGTTTAAAAATATAGGAAGGAGTGATCAATTCTTCCATGTGCTGCTGAGCAGAAAAGCAAGATGAAGACTAAGGCATGACCCCTGAATTTGGCAGGATAGTGGGGCTGGTGACCTCGATGGTAACAGATTAGGGGTACAGATGAAAGCCTGGCTAAAATATGCTCCCATTCTCATAGGAGTAAGGAAGTGAAAATGGTGAGGATGGAGAACTCTTTTGAAGAGTTTTGCTATCAAAGGGTAGCAAAGGAAAGCTGGAGAGGGAAGGAGGTGAGGGAGGGGTGGGTTTTGTGTAAGATAGGAGATGTGGGCTGATAGAATGCGGAGGAATACAGGACACAGAGAGAGACAATTACAGGGCTGAGACCTGGAACAGAGGAGGGAGGAACTACCCCGCGCCCCCCACACACATACACATACAGGCACCTGCACACACGCACGCGCACACACACACACACACACACAAGTGGACGAGAGTCTTTCGAGAGAGGTGAAAGCATCGTGCTCAGGATGGCTGAAGACATGGGTCAGAGACGAGTGTTTGGCCTTTCCCAAGCCAGGCCACCCCATCTCCTGGGTGGATGTCAAACATTCTGGAGCAGTAAGCCAGGCAGTACCACCTGAGTCTGTGCCATTATTAGCAGAGCAGGCCTCTGTCACCAGAGCCTGTGGGGCTTGAGAAAAAATGGTTTTGGTGCCATAATGAGAAAAGGATTTCTAACATGCCCCAGACTCTGTGCCTGCAGTCACACAGCCGTACAGGCCTGGCCATGTGAGCCTAATGAAAATGAGGACCCAGCTAGAAGCTGGGGAGGTCCTGCCGGCAGCAGTGACATTGGGCTTGGCTGAGAAAACTGAAGCCTTAAGGCGAGGGCAGTGGGCCTGGGCCCAGCCCCTCCATCTGCCACAGCCCAGCTCCAGAGCCCACACCCAGAGGCCAGGAGCACATGGGGGGCTGACCCCAAACCCACTCAGCTGACACCCACTTTTAGTGCTGCTCCCCTCCCTGAGTCCCTCGCTGTCTCTCCACCCCCACCTGCCTGCTCCCCCTGACCACACACACACACACACACACTCTCTCGCTCTCTCTCTCTCTCTCTCTCTCTCACTGTTACACCTGCTCTTCAATGCTAGTATATACCCCAGGTTAACTCATTTAATCTCCTTAGAAAGCACACCCTGGGATTGTCACCTGCCCCTCCAAGGAGCATCTAGTTTTCCTCGGAGACACTATGAGCCCTTTTCTACTGGCCTGGTGCCTGCCCATTTCCATCCCCGGAGGGGGGCTCCCAGATCCCTGACTGATGAACTGCTTCAGACTCTGGATTACGTGGGTGTGTGTTGTAACAAACCAACCCCAAATATGTAACAGTGCAAACACAGTAGAAGTTTATGTCCTTTCCT